AGCTGCAGACCAGTTAGAGCTGACCCCGGATATTAATTTGGTACGTTTCATTAACCTAAGCAATGCTGCAGCTTAGCATTCCCTGGTAGCTGAAAAAGAGTTCAGCACTGGTTTGAGAATTACAAAACTCTAAGTTGTTGATTTGGCCTCCAAATTGTTGGGATCTCAAACTGCTATTAGACAAGTGGTCATAATGTTATGCTTGGTCACAGTAAATAACCATGTTGTCAAACTAATGTTTTCTTCCCCAGAAGCCTTGCCCATTTTTAACACCAGATCTTTTAATGCTCAACTGTGTGAGCACACTGTACAGAGATAAATATCATCATGTCTGCTTCTTGGCCCTCGCCACAGAGATGAAAGGTGTCTCCAAACCAAATACTCAAGACAAACCTCGAAGGCAAACAAATAATTATTTCAGATGTTCCTCCTGACTATAAAGAAAATAATATTTACTCATTGACTACAGTATTGATGTTTCAGCAGGAAACAATTGTGAAGACAGATGACAGAAAAATATGTGTCCCAGTTCTTGCCAGGCCACACGCAGATCCCCTCTAATTAGCTTTAGGCTGTCACAATGTGAAGGAATGCACTGTAAGAGTCACGCAAACATGGCTGCCACCGTGCACACCTTCACTTAGCCTGGAGGTCTAACAACCTGTTTACACTGTGGTCACCCAATATGAGCCTGGCAGCAGTGGTGTGTTTCATGAGTGGCATTTCAGTCACTTACTGCACAGCAGACAAGAGCCTAAAACGACTGCATCTAACTACGATAACAGTGAATCTGAGCAATTTGACCTTCCATGCCTGAATCATAATAGTCTTGATAAGTTTTGTTTTCATTTACCTTCATTCATGATTTACTTTAAACTTGTTCACTTTCCACTCTAAATATATATATATATTTTTACAAAGACGTCATTATGATATGTTGTGCAAAAACCATGAAATATTGTTGCTAAACTATCATAGCCACATATTTGAGAAATTTCTATGATGTAGTGCAATGAAAAAATGTTACCCCGTTTTGGATCTTCATGCTTTAAGACATAAATATTGTCAACGGCAAACAAAAAGGAGAAATAGAAACTGAACTCAGAAAAATAATTAGATGCTGTATCTAAAAAATGTAAGTGTAAATTTTTTAGATACAAAAAAAAAAATAGAATTTTTTAATTTTAATTGAGCAAAGAAGTTTCCTAGACTAAAACTTCTTTGTTTTAGTCTTTGATATCTTGCTGCCTTTTGTCTTCGGTGTCTTTAGCTCCTTTATGATTTTACAGCATCCCGAGCTCCCATCAGCGTCTCCCTTGAGGGCTGATGTTTCAGAAGCGTTCCTCCTCCAAATTAACCCACATTTAAACTCTGAGAATTATGTATTTGATTCAAGTGTGTTTAAGAGGTGGTGCAGCTAAAACATGGCGCACGTCGAGCCTCGAAAAGTAGAATTCCCCACATGTCACTCCTCCTTTTTCTGAGTGATATAAATAGCATTGTCAGTGGCACCGTCTTCATTGTACCTCAATATAAGTTGCAGACAGGGTGTTGTAGTTTTAACTGTAAAGTTGCTGTCCCACTGTTTCCAATCAACACAAAACTGTAAATTACAGTCCTACAGCCAAAAACAGCAGAAAAAAGTAACTAATGTAGAAGTATTAACAGGAATTGTTCTTTCAGGCACAAAGATGCACAATGTCACTTTTAATGGACAGACGATGCTTGGCAATTTTCTCCAAACATTAAATCAACACCTACAACACCAATCCTCCATTGTTACGTGATGCTACCATTATTATCATTATTATCACCGTTTGGCCATTAAGTGGCTTGTATGATGTGACACATTAATGTTAAAGTGTCAAACACTCACACATGGAGTTTTTGAATTGCTGTCCACTGCAGTCTCCACTTTGTGTGAAATTCACTTAATGTCCTGACCCAAATTCATGGCAACTATAATTATTCTTGACAACTGAGATCATACAAATAACTCACTTCTCGAGCCTACACTCATTTTATCTGTCCCATTTGGAGCACTTATTAGCGATTGTTTCCACTGTGTTGGCTACTCCTGTGGCTGTAATAATCCTTCTGCCTTGGGCATGCTTGAATTTTACATCATGACCAAATGTTTGCAGAAAAATAAATGCATAGAGTCAGGAAAGGGAAAAGCAGTCATAAAAATCATCACCCAAAAGGGAGACCTTTAATAAACTGTAATAATAAACAATCTTGGGTACTCGTCCTTAGAAGTAAAATCCAAATACAAATCAAGCTTTTTAATAGAGATGGGAAATAAAGGGTTATTATTTCCATTAAAATGTCTTAAAAATATTTAACAGCACAACCACATCATTATGTTGGTGCCCAGCTTGTATTGTCACAGCGGAGAATGGCCCAGGAATAGCCAAGAACGTTTACTGAGCGGATATTAATTGATTTGTCCTGACCTACCCAGACCTGGCCTCCCCGGGCTCGGCTTCCTCAGTAAAGCCATGCCAAAGCTCTGTCCTAACTCTGCATAAAAATAAATGAGAAGCCGTGGGGCTGTAGTCTCTAAAGCCAGGGGATATTGTTCGATTTCACGTCAGCCCTCCAGGAGGCAATTTAAACAACCCAGCATGCTAATAAGCCCCCGTATAAAAGGCACTTCTGGAGGGGAGCCCATTCTTCTTTTAGCACTCTTTTTTTTCTATTGCAACAAGGACAAAAGGGCATAAACAATCTAAAGAAGTGCAATCTTGACCCAGTCTTAAATAGCTCCGTCCTGTGTAATGGTTTGTGTATCACAGATCATTGTTTGCACTTAAAAACTAACTAAAAAGGTTTTTTGATCAATAGAACTGCAGCACTGCTCCTAGACTGGGGATCTGAGAAGACAGAGCCTCACAAATAACTCCATACTCCAATAAAGCCTCTGTATTGGTTGTGGCCACAGAAATACGATATTGTTCATTCTGTTCGTGTGTCTTGAACCCACAGGGCAGGTGGTAGCAGATCACAGACTTCTCAGAGACTCAGAGGCTAAACTAATCATGCACGACTCGCTCACACGGCCCAACTACTGCCCTCTCAAATCTACACCAGCTTGTCATGTACTGATATCACACAGCAGTCCGGTTGACTGACCTGTTATGTTTTTTTTTCCGTGTGGTAGCGCTGTTCTATAGGGCCTGAACCTTTGTTTAATTGTGCAGCTCTTTCGCAATAATTAACTGTGGAGATGTGATAAAATTGTCTGACTTGAAGACACGCAGTCTTTCATTAAGGCACAGGACATCTCAAAATGATATCCAGGGTTCCACACATTGCCCTCATAATGCAGTTATACAACACTCCATCAACACACAGCCTTTGACTCAAGGCAGTATCTCATATCTCAAGGTTCCATTTGAAAAATGTTCTGCAATAAATTCATCAAATGGGACATTTCAGCACTGCATTGTAAATGTTTTTCAATCAAAATGCTTTCACAGACGCTATCTAGCAACCATTAATGGAGTAATTAAAAGAGAATTTCTAATGTCCAAATTGATAGAAGGAAAAAAATAGCCATTATCAAGACTGACTGTTAAACACTGCCCCCTACTGACGTCCGAATATTACCACATTTCAATATCCTGGTGGCAGGCTTGAAATTTTAAGCTGTCAAGCAGATTGTTTTGATGTTTTTCTTATTTTGGTCATGCTATTTTATTTTACACAATATATGTTGTCCATCTTTAAAATCCACTGTATTCCTGTTTAAAAGAACATCCAAGTGAACATGTGTGTCATAATAAATCAGAGTATCAGTTTGAAAATTAAATCTGAAAAGTCACTTCACATTACACATGGATGTATTTAAGGAATGTATTCATGCCAGTCTGTGCAGGAATAATTCAAATGAACTGTACAGTGAATGGATAATTCTCAGCCATGTTTGAAAAATGTTTATATTTTATTAGATTTGAATTGTGACTTGTCTAATTAAATCTGTATTTTAAAGCCATAATCGTCCTAATTTATTAAGTCTGTGGAATAGATGTATATAATAAACTAGTTGTACCTGTGGAATTGAACAAAAAAAAATCATTTAATTTTTAATCATATTTTAACTTATGGAGATTCACCTTTATAGAGGTTAAAATATGGCCACCTTCCAGCAAATCCTGGGTTGCCTTTGAGACATCTTTTTTGAAGCAAATGGAAGAAGAAACATCACTTTGCATTCACATAAGCATGAAGTTCTTATGATCATAAAGGCAAATTATGGAAATGGTTTGCTGTGACAGGTGCAAAGCATAAAAATGTTTAAGCAGATTAGAATTAATTGATGCTAAAGTAAGTTTTCATTAGTGAAAAGTGCTTTATATGATATTTAAAAGTAATGTTTCAAATTGCTATTACTATACTACAGACTTAAGATTGTGTGCTTTTACAAATCAAAATTAGATTTGCCTCTAGATTTGCAACAAAAGTACTTTTCTAATAGTCACAGAAAACTGAAGGAATAGAGGTACCAGTAAAGTTAATAAACACTCCCATAATTTCATTCAGAGATAAAAAAAATAATAATAATAATAATAATAATAATAATATAAATATACAAAAAAACCCTCAGAAGTTCTTAGAATTATTATTAAATTTATTGTTATGAACAAAACAAAAAAATTGATAAAATTAGGTGGTGCAAACACTGTCTTGTTGCTATAAAAATGTATCTATTTATATACATAAATCAAATTACTTTATGTCAAGCAGAGTGTTTTGATAATGTTTTATCCATTATGGATAAGTGACATGAACATACTCACCTATGGGTGAGATATTTAGTCAGCAAATCAACAAAGTTGAAGAGCAGCAAATCAGCAGACCTATCCAGATGTTCATACTAAATGTAAGATGTTGTGCCTAATTGTTGATTAGTATTATAAATACACCACTGTATAATGTATTATAAAGCTTGTAGTTTTTTTGAACGTCTGAAAAACAAATTAAACTATATACAGCTGTAAGCATTGTAATTCTATATTTAGATATAAAGTTCAGAGTATACATTGTAATTATCAGTGAAAAGAACACCAGGATTTTTAAATGTACAAAGATGTAAGCATTTTCTAACATGTGTGTGTAGAACTACAAGAAGTATAGCATTTACAAGCATACATTTAATATTATCATGTGTACAATTGATAACTTTAAATTAGTTATTGTTAAACATTAAAATTCTACCCCTGAACATGCTTTAGTGGAAATTTTTTACAAGACAAGGTGCCGCTCAAGTTATTGGGAAAATAAGTGAAAATAAAACTGGAAAAGAATGTAAAGAGCTGGACATTGAGGCAGAAGTTCATCTTCCAACAGAATAAAGATCCTTAACATAGAGCTATAGATGCACTGAAATGGTTTAGATCAAATACTCATGTGTTACAGTGGAATCAACCTAAATGTCAAGAAGACTTAAGTAGGTATCTTCATAAATGCCGTACTCTCCATTGAAACTGACTGAAGTTGAGGTTTGGAAAAACAGAATGAGAAACATTTTAGTGTATTTTTTAGTGCACAAAGCAAAAGATGCTTCCATAAAACTATATCCTCAGGCAGATGAAGTTATATGCACCTTGCACATTAAAGTTTTCATTTTCGAAAAAAAAAAATACTTTGTATTTTTTTTCCTTAGGCATTTTGTCTTGATCTATCACTAAGCAATTCTCAAAACATACTGTGTAGCTTATGGTTGATACTTGTCACTGCAAGTCCATGTTCAGAAAAAGATGTAGCACTAATCTTTCTTTAGCTTACTGTAGAACTCCTCAACTTAATCTCAGAATGAAACCCCTTGTTACTTTTTTATCTTGGTCTTTGTTCCTTTCTATCTGTCTTCTTTATTCATTGGTTTCTCTTGGAATTGTGCCCATTTGTCATGTTGCCTGACAGGCAGCAGATAATGTGGAGCTCCAACAGTTTGCCCATCTGTATTCTCACTGAAGCTCTTATTTTATATTTTTGTCTGCGTAGGTTAATCTTCGTCTTCAGCAGACTATAGTGCTATGTTTGATTTCGTTCTTTTGTTCTTCCTCTGAGACTATATTTTCTAGATCAGGCTCGTCTCAAAAGTCTTTGCATTGCTGTTTGGTGTCTATTTCTTGGCTTTGAGTCTGTTCTGTGAGAAAGGGGAGACGGATAATGACCAAAATAAATGTTGGTCATTTATTTTGCAGGGTCTCCATTTCAGATTCTGGTTCAGAGAGAGCAGGCTTTTGCTCCTCCACTGTTGTTTCTGAATCAGTCATTTTGGGAGTGGAAGCTCCCAAAATGCTCCTCGTCTTCTGATTTTTCTACGGATGATGAAGAAGATTTTCCACTACTTGTCATTGCACACTCATCTGAGTTGATGTCTTGTTTATGTTCAGCCTTTGGTGAACTCTCTGGAGAGTTTTGGCTCAAAGGAGAATTCTCCTTGGCAACAGGCGGTGGCTGAACATCATTTTCAGGGGTTGATTTTGCAAACTCATTCTCCTCTTTCTTGCTTCCTGAATCTGAAACAGACAGCAACAGTTGTGCTAGAATCCATCTGCTAAGAATTTGCAAATATGTTGAATATTTTATTGTAAGTAACACAAAAAAAAAAAAAAAAAAATCCCTGCATGGGCTTTTTAGGACTGGGCAAAGTAAAATAAAATAAAATAACTTCCAAACAAAGCAATGGAGTACATTAAAGGTAATCAAATTGAGTCCTTCTTCCAAGCTGTGACATGCTTGTGTAAATACAATTTAACCTGTCAAAACTGATGAACGTTAGTCATTCCTGTAGATGGAAAAGTCATTCACAATAAGTGTTTTCTTTTCTGGATCAGAAAATACCAGATCATGAATAAACAATAACAAAACCGCTGATGCTGAACCTATTGTGTTGGGTTCCATATTCTGAATATAGAAGATGTCATTTAATCTGGAAGCTTTGGAGATGAGGACATCATAAAAATAATAATGTTGCTTTGGGTTTATACTTTATGATAATCTTTATGTATTCCACTTGAAAAAATAATGACAGTTTTGTTCATTGAAATGCAGAAACAGGCAAGAAAACCTTCAAAGAAACCATATAAAAGAAAAATATGTACAAATGATATGCAAAAAAAATACAAAAGAAAAGAGATTAACTGGGAAAAATGGTGACAGAGGAAGTAACATAGTTACTAAAAATATTAGTAAATGAAAATAATATCATTATTAAACACATGACACCTTGTTATACATCTTTCTTTTTGAAAAATATCCAACATCCCTTTTGAAGAAGTAAAAAATTTCCAAGAAAATATTGTGGAATATCAAGTACTATATGCCTCACTTTTGATGCACTCCTCTTGCAAAATGTTCATCAGTGGTATAATAAATGGTAGATCAATTATATAAAATTTAAAGTGCCCTGCTGGATTATATTTATGAACATCACTTTTCCCTTATGTCACCCTCTTGTTTTATTTGTCTTTCCATAATAAAAGCTAAACGAACCATCTGGGATTTTTTTTGTTTTGATGAACCATGAGTGCCCCCAAGTGGTCGAATAGTTATTAGACAACTATAAGATATCAAGTAATGGCTGAAGTTTCACTTTTGGTTTCAGCCATTGAATGTCTGAGGTCAGCAAAGCATCTGACCAGTGTAGTGTCAAATAAGGGATGCTAATACTACATTGTTCTTTCAATATTTGAGCCACCTGAGGGTATATTTGCCTGTTGCATCACATATTTCAATACCATTAAACATACGAATGTGTAAAATAAGAGGACAAGAGTGTTACTAACAATTGTTGTAAAACTACAGTAAATATATTTTTAAATTACTTTTTCCTGATGTCCCTGCCTTGTTTTTGTATTTATTTATTTCCATACTAAAAGCTAAACCATCAGGGATTTTTTCAATGCTCCATGAGTGCCCCCAAGTGGTCAAGCAATTATTAGATAAAACAATCAGATAGTAAGGGACTGCTTAAGTTTAATTTTTGTTTTAAAATTATATTGCAGCTCTAAAGTGAGTTAAAATCACCTACATAGTGCAGTGTGAGATGAAGGGATTTTACTATCAGGCATTACTGCAAAATTTGAGGTATGTTATTCTCCTGTTGCATTATGTCTTACAAAACCATTAAAACAAAGTGTTTTAGTCACAATTGTTATAAAACCGATTTCATAATAAATTAAAAGGAGTGTTGATGAGCAAACAGAGGTATGAGACAGACATTTCCATTAACATAATGTTATCAAAACCAGACCGAATGTTTCCTTTGAGGTTCAGGAAAAGTCAGGAACGAAAAAACCAAAATTACAAACAAAATGGCATAAAATAAACAGAATATAAGGAAGTTCACCAGGCATTGGTATTAGGATAAGAAGTATTGTTTGAGTTATTTTGTATGTTCAATATAATTTTTAAACAAACACAATAAATTGTTGCTCTAAAAAGGAGTTTTAATAGTGTTGTCTTTAAAGAATTGTTAGCTTATTTGTACTCACTCTGATCATTTGACATCTCATTTGGATTTCCAGAATCAGCAGGATCATCTAAAACTTGCTGCTTGATAACGTCCGGATTTGTATTTTCAGCTGCTTTTTGTGACGCAGAGAAATTCGGATCAAGGTTGGGTTTTTTAGCCACCGGCGGTGGATGTGAAGCTTTATTGTCCTCATCTTTATTTTTCTCTGGACCTGCAACAAAAAAAAGGAAAAGTTACATAAAATGTTCATAGGAACAAATAACTTTTTTTCTGTACAGATTTCTATTTTAATTATCAGATTTTCTAAATTTAATGCTTTAAATTTCATTTGGCACTTCTCAGATGCTCCATGTCATTTAGAATTGCAGAGGTAGGTGAAAAGTAGCTGTAAAAAGTTTAATTTCTAAGGAAAGCAGATTTTAAGGTGAGAGCTTGTGTGTACCTTATTGTTATTTGGCACACTACTTAAAGCATTTTCCTTAAGAGTCTAGATGACTGCCCACTGTTTCCAATCCTTCTAGAAGTTTATCTTTACAGAAACACAAATCAACATTAAAAAAATTCTAAAATATTTTTATTCCATTTTTTTTTATTACATTTCCTTTCACAAGCTTCTTCTTTTTTTATGCCATTGTACAACTAATTCTTTTGTCTTATTGAAAATCCAGGCCAGTAAGTTACTGACAGATACCTTTAGATGTAGCTTCAGTATTTCCACATAATTGTCATAATGTTTGTTCCTTGGCAATATCAAGGGATCAAAAAGAAAAGTATATAAGCCCCAGTTCTTACTTTTCAGATGTTCTCAAACTCAAGTTAAAAGTGAATGCAAGTATGATAGTCAATACATAATAAAACTGAGTGGAAAAGTGAGCAGTAAACATTATTGTTACTTGCAGAGGCAATTAGCTTAAGAGCTATTTGTTTTATTTACCTCCTAATCTAAATAAATTTTTTCCATTACTCTTTCCTGATGTCCCTGCCTTGTTTTGTATTTATTTATTTATTTCCATACTAAAAGCTAAACCATCAGGGATTTTTTCAATGCTCCATGAGTGGTCAAGAAATTATTAGATAAAACAATCAGATAGTAAGGGACTGCTTAAGTTTCATTTCTGTTTTAAAATTATATTGCAGCTCTACAGTGAGTTAAAATCACCTAGATAGTGCAGTGTGAGATGAAGGGATTTTACTATCAGGCATTACTGCAAAATTTCAGGTATATTATTCTCCTGTTGCATTATGTCTTACAAAACCATTAAAACAAAGTGTTTTAGTCACAATTGTTATAAAACCGATTTCATAATAAATTAAAAGGAATGTTGATGAGCAAACAGAGGTATGAGACAGACATTTTCATTAACATAATGTTACCAAAACCAGACCAAATGTTTTCTTTGAGGTTCAGGAAAAGTCAGGAACGAAAAAAACTAAAATTACAAACAAAATGGCATAAAATAAACATAATATAAGAAGTTCACCAGATATTGGTATTAGGATAAGAAATATTGTTTGAGTTACTTTGTATGTTCAAAATATTTTTTTTTTGAAAAAATACAATAAATTATTGTTCTAAAAAGGAGTTTTAATAGTGTTGTCTTTAAAGAATTGTTAGCTTATTTGTACTCACTCTGATCATTTGACATCTCATTTGGATTTCCAGAATCAGCAGGATCATCTAAAACTTGCTGCTTGATAACGTCCGGATTTGTATTTTCAGCTGCTTTTTGTGACGCAGAGAAATTGGGTTTTTTAGCCACCGGCGGTGGATGTGAAGCTTTATTGTCCTCATCTTTATTTTTCTCTGGACCTGCAACAAAAAAAAGGAAAAGTTACATAAAATGTTCATAGGAACAAATAACTTTTTTTTCTGTACAGATTTCTATTTTGATTATCAGATTTTTTTTTAATTTAATACTTTAAATTTCATTTGGCACTTCTCAGATGCTCCATGTCATTTAGAATTGCAGAGGTAGGTGAAAAGTAGCTGTAAAAATTTTGATTTCTAAGGAAAGCAGATTTTAAGAAAAGATCATGTTTCATTTCTGTTTTAAAATTATATTGCAGCTCTAAAGTGAGTTAAAATCACCTAGATAGTGCAGTGTGAGATGAAGGGATTTTACTATCAGGCATTACTGCAAAATTTCAGGTATATTATTCTCCTGTTGCATTATGTCTTACAAAATCATAAGACAGACATTTTCATTAACATAATGTTATCAAAACCAGACCAAATGTTTTCATTGAGGTTCAAGAAAAGTCAGGAACGAAAAAACCAAAATTACAAACATAATGGCATAACATAAACAGAATATAAGGAAGTTCACCAGATATTGGAATTAGGATAAGAAATACTGTTTGAGTTACTTTGTATGTTCAATATATAAAAAAAAATAAAAATACAATAAATTGTTGCTCTAAAAAGGAGTTTTAATAGTGTTGTCTTTAAAGAATTGTTAGCTTATTTGTACTCACTCTGATCATTTGACATCTCATTTGGATTTCCAGAATCAGCAGGATCATCTAAAACTTGCTGCTTGATAACGTCCGGATTTGTATTTTCAGCAGCTTTTTGTGACGCAGAGAAATTGGGTTTTTTAGCCACCGGCGGTGGATGTGAAGCTTTATTGTCCTCATCTTTATTTTTCTCTGGACCTGCAACAAAAAAAAGGAAAAGTTACATAAAATGTTCATAGGAACAAATAACTTTTTTTCTGTACAGATTTCTATTTTGATTATCAGATTTTTTTTAATTTAATACTTTAAATTTCATTTGGCACTTCTCAGATGCTCCATGTCATTTAGAATTGCAGAGGTAGGTGAAAAGCAGCTGTAAAAATTTTGATTTCTAAGGAAAGCAGATTTTAAGAAAAGATCATGTTTCATTTCTGTTTTAAAATTATATTGCAGCTCTAAAGTGAGTTAAATCACCTAGATAGTGCAGTGTGAGATGAAGGGATTTTACTATCAGGCATTACTGCAAAATTTCAGGTATATTATTCTCCTGTTGCATTATGTCTTACAAAATCATAAGACAGACATTTTCATTAACATAATGTTATCAAAACCAGACCAAATGTTTTCATTGAGGTTCAAGAAAAGTCAGGAACGAAAAACCAAAATTACAAACATAATGGCATAACATAAACAGAATATAAGGAAGTTCACCAGATATTGGAATTAGGATAAGAAATACTGTTTGAGTTACTTTGTATGTTCAATATATATAAAAAAATAAAAATACAATAAATTGTTGTTCTAAAAAGGAGTTTTAATAGTGTTGTCTTTAAAGAATTGTTAGCTTATTTGTACTCACTCTGATCATTTGACATCTCATTTGGATTTCCAGAATCAGCAGGATCATCTAAAACTTGCTGCTTGATAACGTCCGGATTTGTATTTTCAGCTGCTTTTTGTGACGCAGAGAAATTGGGTTTTTTAGCCACCGGCGGTGGATGTGAAGCTTTATTGTCCTCATCTTTATTTTTCTCTGGACCTGCAACAAAAAAAAGGAAAAGTTACATAAAATGTTCATAGGAACAAATAACTTTTTTTTCTGTACAGATTTCTATTTTGATTATCAGATTTTTTTTAATTTAATACTTTAAATTTCATTTGGCACTTCTCAGATGCTCCATGTCATTTAGAATTGCAGAGGTAGGTGAAAAGCAGCTGTAAAAATTTTGATTTCTAAGGAAAGCAGATTTTAAGAAAAGATCATGTTTCATTTCTGTTTTAAAATTATATTGCAGCTCTAAAGTGAGTTAAAATCACCTAGATAGTGCAGTGTGAGATGAAGGTATTTTACTATCAGGCATTACTGCAAAATTTCAGGTATATTATTCTCCTGTTGCATTATGTCTTACAAAATCATAAGACAGACATTTTCATTAACATAATGTTATCAAAACCAGACCAAATGTTTTCATTGAGGTTCAAGAAAAGTCAGGAACGAAAAAACCAAAATTACAAACATAATGGCATAACATAAACAGAATATAAGGAAGTTCACCAGATATTGGAATTAGGATAAGAAATACTGTTTGAGTTACTTTGTATGTTCAATATATATAAAAAAATAAAAATACAATAAATTGTTGTTCTAAAAAGGAGTTTTAATAGTGTTGTCTTTAAAAATTTTTTAGCTTATTTGTACTCACTCTGATCATTTGACATCTCATTTGGATTTCCAGAATCAGCAGGATCATCTAAAACTTGCTGCTTGATAACGTCCGGATTTGTATTTTCAGCTGCTTTTTGTGATGCAGAGAAATTCGGATCAAGGTTGGGTTTTTTAGCCACCGGAGGTGGATGTGAAGCTTTATTGTCCTCATCTTTATTTTTCTCTGGACCTGCAACAAAAAAAAGGAAAAGTTACATAAAATGTTCATAGGAACAACTAACGTTTTTTCTGTACAGATTTCTATTTTGATTATCAGATTTTTTTAATTTATTACTTTAAATTTCATTTGGCACTTCTCAGATGCTCCATGTCAATTAGAATTGCAGAGGTAGGTGAAAAGTAGCTGTAAAAAGTTTAATTTCTAAGGAAAGCAGAGAAAGCACATAAACATTGCCATTACTTGCAGAGGCAAGTTGAGATTTGCCTTAAAATGCATGTGGCTGTTGTCTGACTGGGTAAAATAACTATGCCATCAAGGAGCATAGTTTGGTGAAGATACTTACATGAAAACATGTACAACTGATTGGATTAAATGAAACTCCATTGTTGTAATCAAACTGGTCAAACGTGAAGTTTCAGGTGCTTGTCTTTTTGCTTTTTTACTTGATAGAACATGCCTGTCAGAGATTCACTAGCGCAAATGGGTGTGACAAAAAATCTATTGTCACATCAATAAAGTATTATTTGGAGCAAGCACAAAACAGTGACTGCTTGGTTTGGGAAAAATATCTCTATAGTGATGTGGAAAACTGTTTTCCCCTTCCTGATTTCCTATGTTTTTGCATATTTGCCACACTTAGGTGTTTCAGAACATCAAACCAATTTAAATATTAGTCAAGGACAAAACAAGCAAACACAAAATATAAATTTTAAATGAAGGTTCATAAGGAAAGAAAAAGCCTTCATGGCCCTGTGTGAAAAACTGACTGCTCTCCTCCAATGGCAGACTTTGGAGGGGAGCCATTTTGGGTCCCAAGGCAAATCTTTGTAGAGATTCTTTCCTCGCCCACGTCTGCTGTCATTTACCAGGAGGCCCAAAGGGTGAAAGACCCTGAAGGGCTGTCACAATGTCTTAGGGCAGGGTGCCAGCAGCTGTGGTAAGATTTATTTTACACAAGCATTTTTTTTTTTGTTTTTTTTTTTTTTTTTTGTGTGTGTGAAAAAAATAAGATCACAAAAGCAATCATTCATACAGGATGAGAGTGTCCAAAAAACATATTGCAGTAAGCATAGCACCAGTTCAATAGATTTTTAATCCAGTAGAAGTAAAGAGTAACCATTCAAGAAATTACTTGAAAATTTTCAAATAATGAAATGTGGCGAATATACGAGATAGGTAATTGGGGAAGGAGCAAATGCTTTTTTTAATGCCACTGTAATTTGTCTTGACTTTAATTGTTTTTCAGCAACCTGGGTGTCCATGCATACTTCATAGGAGTCAGAGTTGGGAGGTGTTGGTGAGGGGGTACAGCTCTTTTGTTCAAATGGTGTGAGTCACTTTAAAAAAATACTTTAGAAAATAGCACAAAATACTTCTACAATGCTACAATGCATCTTATGGTGAAACGAGAAAGTAGCAAATGTCAGCTCTATGTGTAGTGTTTTTTGTGTCTAAAAATACTTTTAAACATGTTCATGGCAGGTAGTAGCAGTGGGAAAAAAGCCAATTTTTAGTCCATATATACTCACTACTTTCAGGTGACAAAGTTATTAGCCCAGGATTCATAGGCTCAGAATCTGAATGGTGTTCCTCTAAGACTTCTTCCTCCTCAACCTTTCTGGGCTCAGATTCATTAGCTTTTCCAATCTCCTCAAAGAAGCTGCACACTTCTTTAACCGACGGAGAGGTTAAACAACTGTCTTGGACTTTGTTCTTCTCTGAATCTAAACCACAAAATAATAATAATGATTTTAAAAAAGCACAGTTTAATATTGAATCCACGTGTAGTGAGATAAATTCAAACCAAAAGAATAAAACGCATTCAGTTAGTCTAAAAAACTAACTGAATGTTATCTCCTAAAATATAAGTAGGAGATAAGAAACAAAGTTCAGCTATTTACTGAATAACATTTGAAAATAAAACACCTTGCTTCATTAAAATTTAGGAATTTGCATGTTTTTTTTTTACATTTTCAGTTCCCAGTGATATCTGATACAACATATTAAACTTTAATTTGTAACTTAAGAAAGTGATTGTTTTCGCTTCATGCATATTTGCCATTGTTTATCCAGAAACATATTTCCTCTACCATTGCAAGTTCATTGCTTTAATTTACTTTAAACATTTATGCTTCACTTTCTTTAATCAAGTACTATAAGTCTTTCGGTGGAGTTTACCCTTTTGGAAAGAATCATTTCTTTGGTTTAGGTGTCCAAGATTATGATGAGAAGGTATTGTAGGTGCTCTGTTCAGAAGAACCTCGGTTTCCTCACTTCCAGGTGTCACTATTGAAAAACATGAAAAGACATAATAAAAGTAGCTGGAAATCAAAAATTATCACAATGACACGGTCACTGTTAACACATAATTTACATGAAGATCATACTAAGAAATGCTTAATATAGAGAAAAATCTCATCTGTTACTGCAAACCTGCTTCTTTGTTTCGTAGCAGACCACCATAGAAAAATTACTATGACCTGCTTAAAAAAATGTTGCATGCAAAATGTGTCAATTGTATTATCAGTTCAATGATTGTTATATCATATCTAGATGGCAATTAAAAGGCAAAAGAAATAAAACATTTCTGTCATTTACACCAATAAATTATTGCAAAAACTTAACTTTTTTTTGTTTGACTTTTTTATCTCTGGTCCAGACAAAGTAGTGACATACCTTTTGAAAATTCAGAATTTGACTGAGTTTCCACAACAGACTTCCGACGATTTGAGCGTACTATAATAAAAAAAAAGGTATCATGATTACGTTTCAGAGAACTGTCTATCAATCTACTTTTTCAAATCTTTGAAAAAATACCCACATTAAAGACAGAATCAACATTTTTATCTGCATATATTTCTAATGAGGGTACAGACAAGAAATCTACAACATATATTAGTAACAATCAGATACATTTATACATATGAGTAAATCTAAACAAAGGAGTAATTCACACAATTCACGTCTAGCATTTTGCAATACCTAGCATTGTAAAATGCTAAGTGTTGAAAACATTCATTAAAATGTATTAAATTCTTGATAAAAGTAGCTTGGTGGGTGGTTATAGCTGCTATATATGTGGAGAAATCAATTGAATGTATAGCTTAGGTTGGATTTTGACTTATGAATCCAGCGAATGACCTAAACATTTTAAAGTTCAGGGAGACTCTATTATGCACTATGATAATCTATTATTTCCATATTTTTTTCAATTGGATTCATATGGGTTTATTATCAGGGCCATTCCAGCTTTTTTATTTATTTTTTCCTCAAACCAATTGAGTTTCGTTGGCTGTGTGTTTTGAATCAATGCTTTGGAATCTCTATGGCTTATTTTGTTCATGATTTCAATTATTTAATTTTATACCACTTTTATTACTCTTAACCTTATTAGTGAACCAATTTATTTGTAACAGTACCTTTTTTAAGATAAAGGACCATCAGGAGGATAATCAGGAGTAGAACAACAAAAACAACACCAACAACAACACCAGCAATTAGTCCGGCTTGAGCCTTTGTCTCTGTAAAGAAAAAAACAAAGTTTAGTTATTTAAAAAAATAACTAAACTCAGATGAAATGAAAAATCTGGTCTGAAATTAGAATAAAATTGATTATAAGCATTGATCATACATCTTTTATCTGCTTTTGTTCAGCAGTTGTCTCTGTGTTAACACATAACCATTGAAATAAATAGCCTCTAAGATATGTTTCTTTACTAAAGAACAAAAGTGTAAAACAAATATCTTACCAGGGTAGCAGTCCTTAGCAATGAACACTGCTGAATCTTGAGTGAGTGGGTTGTTTACAGTACAGTTGTACTGACGATCATCAAATTCACCTCCAAGGGAAATTTTCAGCATGTCTCCAAGATCAATCTTTCCATTTGTGCTCCACTGAAACTTCAGTGAGGACTTATCAGAATGAGATGGTAAAGAGCAGAGCAGAGTTGCACTCCCTGCTGACTCAGCGGTGCTTGCATCGTTTATTTCACAGGTTATTTTAGGCTTGGTGACTCTGTCTGAAATAATCCATAAAAGCAAACAATTTACATTAATTGTTTCATTCATACTGATTCATTGACATCAACACAAAATGTTACATACTAAGAGTTTGCCACAAAAGAACTAGATTTGAATTATTTAATAAAAAATAAAAATTTAATTATTTTTAACATTAATGTTAAAACAAATTGATTTCAACTGCGTAATGCCCAGATAAATCAAGGATCTAATACAGTGAAACAATCTCCCTGAGTTTTATGATCTCAGTCGCAAAGATCTATATCAGTTTTTTGATAAAAAAGAGAGCAAAGGTCCATCTAAGACAAATATATCATTAACACATTACACATTTAAACAGTCATTAGGAGTTGTGAACTACTAGAGAAATCTATTTTTTTTTTTTTTGTTTTTTAAAGTAAATCGAAGGAATCAAATATGAAACCAAGGCAGCCAATAAAGTGTAACCCAACTTGAAGTTTGAGAGAGAAACTGAAACAACACTGTCAGAGAGTTACACACCACTGACTGATGAAACCAAATAGGGATCTGACTTACAGAAAAAATAAGTTGCAGAATTTGCCTTTGATAGATAGTTATTTAGCAAAATGTGCATTAATGTAAGACTTCAATGAAGTATTATGAAGTAACAATGTGCAAAGTAGGATCATTTGCCCAAAGACTTTGATACAATATGGATTATATTTTACAGGAACTGGACAAACCATTCCATGGACTACAAGTTAAAGGCTCTTCTGCACTGGCTTGACTGACCATCTCTATTCCCTCCTGGAACTACATTTTTAAAAATGTGTTACCCATGCTGTGATTAAACTCTAACCTATTCATAACAATAATGCAAACTATGCATAAAATAAACACTGAAAACTAGCTGACGGCTTCTCATCAGCAAGTTACAAACAAAAAAAACTTACCAATGACTGTAAGTTGATATCTTTTGGTCATAATATTGTGGTTAAATAATATTTCCAGGACATATTCTCCACTGTCTTCATATCTGAGGTTGCTGATGGACAGATCTGCAGAACGCCAGTTAAGAGTGACCCGGCCTTCAAATGACCCATAGGATTGTTCTTGACTGCTATCAAAATGCACCACTTTGTGTCCTATGTGTCCTCGTATATGCTTCCACAGAATGTCAGCAGGGGATCCTTTAATGTCGCTGAAGCCAGTGAAGTCGACTTTCTTCCCAACCAGTACATATTTTTCATTTTGTCCAGAAACTAAAAAGATAATTTAAGTGAGAGTAGACACTTAAAAAGATCAGTACACTATAGAAAACAATGTAGCAAAGTATTTCAAGCCTTCCACTGAGAATTTGTTTATTCAAATATTGGGAAGAAAAAAAAAAAATGAAGTCCCTAGATATTAAATTCTTTCAAAATGCATGTGGCCCATACAGTGGAAAAACACAAGATATTACCAACTATTTTTAGTCTAGTTAATTTGTATTATTATTACTATTATTATTATTATTATTATTATTATATTATTATTATTATTATTATTATTTTGACCTAGAAATCAAATAAACAGCCAATGAAACTAGTACTTTTTAAAAATCAACATCAATGAATTATTTGTTAAAAACAAGTAATGGCTGACCCGTGTGGGAGGTCCCATGGTAAACAAAAGTCTGTTTGCAGAGTAACAAAACATAATAGTCTTTGGTTGGAATTGCTAAGCTCTGAATGAACAGAACAATCTCCACCCAGAGAATGCTACACAAAGATCAAAACATGATAAGGACGATTCAGAAAGTTATTAGACATCAGAAACATAAAAACCTAAATTAAGAGCATCTTAGCACCTTAATAAAAGCTAATAAAGTCTCTGTAAGAGACCTAAGTTAGACGTGCAGTCAGAATATGTACAGATCAGGTGTGGAAGAAGCAAATCCCAGGCAGATTGTTGTCCTTGTGATTTTAAGGAAGCAGGGCGGTGCTGTTTTCCCATTATGTAGTACAATGTGTGTTTACAGAAATGTTCAAAGTAGTTTGAAAAGTATTTATAATTAAACTTACCCAGATAGCAAGTGAGAGAGAAACAGGCGATGAAACACCAACGACTCATTTCTGGAATCGCTGTCAAATTGCAGGTGTTAGTTTAATGTTTAATTCGAAACCACAATTTACTTTCACTTCGCAAACAGGTGAGCGACCTTCCAACCTTCCAAAAGGTTACCGAAGCCGGTTGGGTTCAAACAGCAAAAACGTCCAGCATTTTACATCCAACCAGTGTGGACAGGATTGGAAATAATCTTAAAATCAAAAATAAGATAAAATACAAGGAACGACACGAAACAACTTGTAAACGTCCGGGTTTCGGTTATTTCACCTGCGTTACACCTGAATTTCCGGTGTAGCCTACTTTGCACCGGAAATGAGTAAATATTACTTCAACTGTGTTTCAGTAGCTTTAAGAAAATAGACACTTGTTCAGATTAGAAAATATTAATACCTTAGATGATTAAAAATGGAAAACATAAATTAAAAAAAAGAAAGAAAAAGATAAACGTTTACTTTGACGTTGTCCGTAAACCGGAATTAATTATGTGTGCGTTTTCCAGCTTGGCGTGTCCTTGTTGGGAAGCTGAATGTGTGAGGAAAGATAAGACTCACAGCAAAAGCTACTGACATTCCTTTTGTAGGACTAGCTAGATTGGTTCGCTTGCGAAAAATTTAATTATTTTCTTTTTTAAAAGCACGCTGAGTATATACTGTTAATTCGGTGTTGCCTCCGCCTCAGTTTATAGTCCAAAATCAGTCATGTTTTACAGCAACAGTTTTTTGGAACATAAATGTGAATCTCAGTAAATTAAAATGTAATGAAGAAATCAGTGCAGCAATTAAAACCAGAACGTGGACCTATTTCGAGTACTTCTGTCAGTTTTAGCAATTTTGGTTTACAGTCATCAAAAATTAAATTCAGTTTCTCAGATATTTGATATAGCATTAAATTATAAAGTGGGTTTCTAATACATAAATATTATGTTATGGCCACAGCTAAGTGGTGCGCTCGTTAATCGAACAGACTAACTTTAACAATTTGTTTATCCAATATGTGCACATAATTTCGACAACAGAAATACTAAAATGTTTTACTCGAAGTGGGCTATTTTGTTCCAAATTTCCATAATATTTCACAATACATAATGGTGTAATCATCTGATTACACAAACTGTAATTAATTTTGTGTTATAGGACTTAAATCTTTGTTTTTGTAAAATAATAAAGAAAACAATGTTACTTTTCAGTTTCATAATAAACTAAATACAATTCTGTAATTTTAGTTTAACACTTGATAAGCTGCTTATTTTCAAAAGATCAAGTGTTATTCATAACTCGAGACAAACTTTATTTAGAAGGAAAAGGTAAAAAACACAAGTAGCTGTTGGTATATTGCAGGAATTGTATGTTGTTTATATTATCACAATTATGGGAAAGACTGTTTACTTGACAGATGTCCAGCAGACAGTCATTAACAGGACACAAATGGACACTAAAAAAAGTAAAAAAAAGCTGGCTGCTCACACACTCATGCATCTTAGCATGACTGAGTATGGAAAGTTTAGTGGAAGGAAATTTGTAGTAAATTAAGAAAACAGTAAAAGGTGAGGAAAGAAAGAAAAAAACTGAAAAAAGGAAAATGATTGTTGATCAATGATTCAAAGACCAAGATTAAAGTAAAATTGTCTCTGGAATTGAATTGCTGAAATAAATTGCTATTCAATCATATTCACTAATCCTTACCACTGAAATGCCCTTAATACCCCAGAGAACACAAAATCAAGGGAAGATAATAACAGTTATTTTTAATTAGAATAGAGCTCAAGAGAATATGTTTAAATTTCACTGCTTACATTAGTAAAAACACAGTGATATCTCATGGTAAAGTGGCAAGTGAATGAAAAAGATACACTTTTTCATTTTGATATGTTACTTGCTGTAGCAAAACTAAAGTCTGGTTCATGAAAGTTTGTGTCATTGGCAGTCTGACGAAGATGTGACTCTGTGAATGTGCGAGTAAGACTTCATAAGCGTCACGCTGCCATGGTGGGATACGCCCAACGGTAGGACACACTCCTCTGTCAACACCCCTCGATCCACATCCCAGCACATCACCGTGGAAATCACTTGGTTCTTGTTATCCCTCCCCCCTGTGATAAAAAGTTTGTTGTTGCAGGCTGCAATGGCACAACTTGCCCTCTCCCCCAGACGAGCCACCAGGGACCAGGAGTCGGACAGAGGGGAATAGCAGTACATGGCGTGCATGGCACCACCTGGAAGAGCAATAAAGAATCGAAGATGAGCTAAAGGTTACGTCATAAAGCATACATACTACTGAAATTGGTGACTCAAATCTTAATGAATATTATGTATCTACTAAATTTTTTTTAATCTTGCTTCATTTGTAAGGACACAGGAGTATGTGCGTGTACTGAAACACACATACTCCTGGACAATTGTTTCTATGTTTCTTATGTCCGTTCAGCCTCCAGCCAGTTGTCATAGCTGGTCTCCTGCCAAGTTAAGGTTATTCTTAACCTAGTATTAAGAATAACCACCTAACAGACTTGGTTATCCTTTTTATTTGCAGGAGGTTTCTTCCTGTTTAAATAAAATGTTTCTCTCCACTGTAGTCCTGTGCTTGCTCAAGCAAAAGCATTGCTGCAAAGCTAACCTTGCCTTTCTCATTTTACCAACTGATATTGCATGACTTAAATTGTACTGTGTTAAAATCAGCATAGAATATAAAACTCAATCAAAATCAGAAAACTTAGATTAATATGAGCTGAATTTGGGCAGAAATGTATTCTGGATATAATGTGTATTGGAGCTCTTTGTCTTGTAAAGAGCCATGAAATCACATTTGCTGTGATTTGGGACTTTGTTAGTGAATTATATTTCAATATATAAAGATATAAATAAACTGAAATGAATACCCATTGGTTATTGAAAGCCACATATGGATTTATGTACTAATAAATGAGCGGCTTGTTGAACTCTTCCTACTCCTTGAACTTCAGTGTATTTTATTGGGATCATGTGTGAGAAACCGACACAGAGTAATTGATCATTTTGAAGTGGAAGAAGGGAGATGGATGGTTTTCACATTTTTGAAAATCTGTTTTAATTATGAAAAAAAGTCAACAAAATTAGCCATGCATTTCCATTCAGCCCCATGATCTAACAGTTTTGTAGATGTTCTCACACTGGGTTGCACATGGAAAGCTTAGCCTCATCTGATCAGTCAACAGTGAAAGCTATTTTACACACTGCTCTCCAAAATACTTGCTAAATAAAATTAATAAAGCTGCAGAATATGGTGAGTATATAGTGTTAAAATATTTGGTTTCATTTTTGCAGACTTTAGATGCCACCAACATAATAACTCCTCCATTATTTGAAATTTTGAGGGATTAGTAACTGAAATCAATCCCAGCTGCTTTGAAGGACAAGTTCTTTGCAGAATGCATCGTTCATTACGCATTTCAAATGGTTCATGATATATGAAATGTTTGGTTGGGTTACTTTTCTCGTTAGAAAATAAGATATCTCGGTGTCTGGACTCTTGCAAATTTTGCAGAGAATGTGGTTTGGCATAGAACTGGTGAGATAATGGTTTGCCTTTCCTGAGGCTGTGAAGGCTGTGTTCCACTTTTGCACCTGTGCATGCTGGCTGTCCTGTAGTGCAAATGCAAAAGCAGAACTTCCTCTGAGAGGAATGTAGCCTTTGTTAATATGTCTGTGACTTTGCTGCAGTTTAAGCCAAATGTTTGCATTGAAATAAGTCTAAGCTGGCTTTTGCACTGTCATTATTATGTCAACCAGGAAAGATAACAAGCAATTTCCAAAATCAAACCATGTTGACACAGCTTTCACAGAAATGCGCTAAAAACAGCCACAGCACTTCAGAATCATTTTGCTACGCATGATGAAGTGTTAAATAGCAGTTCTGAATGCAGTTGCGAATTTCACACACCGCCATGTTCTCAGCAGCAACATTATTGTTCTAGGTACTTTGCCTTGCACATGAAGAATTTGACATTGTATTCTATGCATTGTAAATAATTGCAGAATTCAGTTTTCTTTTTCATGCAGCCTTTAATTTTTAATTTTAAAATTCAGAGTTTCCAAGTCTTCCTGTATATCCTGTTTAAGCATTTTTATATTTTACTGGTTTCAAATTTATAATGACCAAATATTTCACAAAAAAAATTAGGAATATTATCTTTGTGCCATATTGAGCTATTTATCTAAATTTCCACACCTCAGATAATATCTTTGTTTATATGTCAAGTAACATCCAATTATTTATTTTAAATACTTCAAACTTACCAACGATGTAGATGCAGTTCTTGAATGTCACAGCATTGGTGCACTTGGTTTCTATGGGGATGGGTGCCCGGAGTTCCCAGCTGTCTGTCCCTGGTTCCCAGCACTGAACTTTATCTGTGGCTAGTTTTCCATTAGGACCACCGCCGATCACATAGATCCATCTGCCAAAGCTTGCTGCTGCAAAGGAGCTGACACCCACTGCAAGAGGTGTCACCTGTAGTAAATACATGAACATTTACTACGCAAGCAAAGCAAGATAATATCAGTAAAGGGAGTTCATGTGGCTGTGATTCACAGACAAATCTCTTTTTTAAGTAATATTTTTTATTGCACGCAGTGTAACAATAGGCGATATTACACCTGACCAAGATTTCCATGGTCATTCAAACTTTGCCAGATTGCAGCAAATATATATATATATATATATATATATATATATATATATATATATATATATATATATATATATATATATATATATATATATATATATATATATATATATATATATATATATATATATATATATATTTGTTTATTAGGATCCCCATTAGCCATTGCCAATAGGGTCCACATCATAAAAAGACATTTATTACTAAAACAGTTACACATATTTAATATAACATTAATAATATAATATAATTAAGTGATAAATTTACCATTATAGCACTAACAATGTAATTAAACTGGGTTCCTTTAACTGTCCTAGCATTAAGTTACATTTAAAAAATGTGGAGGAAGGGAGTTTTATTTGGGGAATTCTAAGGAAGGCAAGTATAATCTTTCCTCCCTCTTAGAGGGAGAACATGTGTAATCCTGCTTTTCTCTTCCCTGTTATATTACAATGATAGTGACCACAAGAAAGATATCTAAGATGTTTCCCCACAATTTGTAAAATTTTTCTACGCTTATTGGAGATGTGAAACCTCCCAAACCTCAGATTTATGGACCTCCAACATCATTTGAAGCTTTGTTGTGGTAGACTTCACTGTTTTCATTAGTTTATCAGCACCAAGAGGAAGCTAGATAGTTTTGCAAAGCACAGTACATATTTGTTTATATTTTTAGTTATATGTATTTGTTTCGTAAATTCCATTTTTGACAGCAGTACATCTTGCATCTTTTAACTGCACAAGAAATTCCTCAGTCTATGACCAATCAGCCAACATGCACATTTCAAATGAATCTACAAAAATGGAACAAGGTAAATATTACACAGCTACCTTTTTTCCTCTGTTTTTTTTTTATTCCAGCTTTCAGTCTGACCTCTACTCAAAAGAGGTTCGACTGGACAAGGAAATTCAAAGTACAAGTATGTATTTGTCCTTTGCGCTGTATACCAATGCTGGGGAAGTGAATGTTGCAATTTATTACATTATCCCCACTTATTGGAAAAATGTGCTAAAATCAAAACTTTGAAAAATGGCTGGGGATGTGCACTGGGGATTCTGTGTTTCTGATGTATCTGAGGAACTCTTTAAGATCGTCCATGTTCAGGGGAATTTGTAATTCTGGTGTGGTGTAATTCGAATATGAAAGTGGACTTAGAGACATTGAAGCCAACTTTGAACTAAGTGTGTATTTACCTGTGTCCAGCGATTGTGAAAAGGATCATAGGCTTCCACACTAGCAAGCCTCTGAACCCCATCAAATCCCCCCAGAGCGTACACTTTTCCGCCATGAACTGCCATCTTGTGTCTCCAGCGTCCATTCGACATTGACTCAATTTGGATCCACTTGTCCAAGGCACCATTATATTTCCAAACATCATGTGGGGTCTCTTTACCACCTTGAGCAAGCAAATCATATGAGAACAATGTCACCTTTCGCTAAGACTTTGTATCCCACTAATTTATCCTAACATGTAGACTAAAGATTAGTCTTGATGTCTGTGTTGGAACATTGTGGTCATGTTAGGTTTAGTGCCAAAAGGCCTATGACCTTGTTTTAACTTTTGCAGCGTGCAAGAACCTTTGCAGTTAAAATACCCTTATCTAAAATGTCAGCTCCTGGGTTTGGAAACGCCTAAAACCACAGTAACTGTTACTGCAGACGACATCACGCCTTCCTGTTTGTTTTGTTCTCTAGTGAACTCAAAATGTTTCAGTTCAACCATAATATTTCAGTTCCAGTAAAGAAAATATATTTTGGAAGCAACAATTATGATGGAAGATATAAATTAAAAATGGATGGTGGCGTCATACTTCAGTCTTTATGCATAAGATTGTGATTGATTTCTCACCTGATATGTAAACTTCATTGTGGAAAGTGATGCAAGAAAACTCCACCCACTTCCTGATTTGGGTCTCATCTTCCATTTCTGTCATTGGCAACCGAGCCACCTCCAGTCGGCTGCGTCTTAGAGGATCCAAGCAGGTGACAGTGGGAATAAAGCGTTCATCCTTAGTGCATCCTCCAATGATCAGAAAAACTTCTGACAGAAAGTGCTGAACCCGTGGTTTGGTTCGCTCTGAGACCACCTACGAATAGGTGAATGATAAAGATAAATATTTGTGTAGCTCTCAAAGCTATTTTTAATTCCAAAAAGTGAGATAATTTGTCTATTTAATGGATACATGCCTCTCTACCAGAAAGATGATACATGCGAGCCTCTTGCAGCAAATAGAAAGCCTCAGTGCAGTGACGTATCAGCTCATCTGACTCCACTTTTTCCACAAAGTACGCCGGCTCCAACAATGGCAACCGCACATGGGAAAGCAACCTGGCCAGTAACGGATAGCGTTCATCTTGCTGGGCTCTCACCCAGCGCATCAGAGCTTCAAAGACACACTCCTCACAATTCACACTGAGGTCATCCCTCTGCAGGATGGCCTCCAAAGACTCTGCAGGCAGCTCTAAGAAGTCCTGTTGCTGCACCACTTGAGAAAACTGAGAGGTGATGAAGTCCTGAGCCCTGGTCCTCAGGGTGGGCAGAACGTGGCTGTCAGCCAGATTTAGGATTCCTATGCAGGTCTCGAGATGAATAGATTTGCTCAAAAAGCTTGCACATGCATCTACCACACGGAGGAACTGAAAAACAGAGGACATGTTTTTGTTTATTACAGTCATTCCTGGCTGACACAAATACAACACTCATTACAATAAAAGTAATCAATATTAAAACTGAGGAGATGTATTTTCTGATGTCATTTTAAAACAGTTCTCCAAAAGGCTTGGAATGCTGTATAACATAATGTGGTAATATAAATGTTTTAAAGGTTTAGTCGACTCTAGTGACCTCTTTTTGAGAGTCGTCAGATATACAGTTCATTTTAGTGCTGCTGTGTGGAAAATAAAACACACAATCATTTTCCATCATGGTGCTAGCTAAAGTCGTGTTCGCATCTGTGTTCCACTATAGTTTTTTTAAACTCATGCTTTAAATAGAAGCTAAGTTACTCATGCCGTGAAATATTTTTTTACATCATAAGAAAGTTTCTTGTTTCATTCACTTGTCTTTAATATACAAAGTTCCTAAAAACAGAAGCACTTGTGGCTAATATTTCTATGCATTTCAGGCATTTTTCTGGTATTTATGATGGGCGTATATTGTTTTTGGAAAAGTTAAAGTCCTCACACTGATTTCCACCATGTAACTGTTGTTATGTTTGATTAGCTTCACTATGGAAAAGTTTTTGATTTCATTTCCATCCATTTGCCCAGCCGTGTGACTGTCTTCATTGTTTCTGTTTCTGTTTGTCGGCCTTTGTGCCTGTGCATGATTCTGTCTTGTTTGAGAACAGACGTCAAAAAAAAGATGAAAGACAAATTTTGCTCTTAAGTAAAAGTATTGATTTGAATTGTTAGGCTAACAAATATGTTGAAAATGTTTTTTAATCTGATTTGTAATCATACTTTGGTGTAGAAAAATATTGTTATCTTAACAATTACAATAATTCTCAATTCATCTAAATAATGTCAGATTCTAACCTTAACCACATTTATGGCTGCAGGAATCTGTTAAACAGCAGAAGAAATCAGCTTAAATTCTTGAGTTGTTTATTTTCAAACAACTCAAATTGCTTTCTGCAAAAATAGAAACACAATAACACAAACACCTGCCTCCTCTTTCAAACTGCACAGCTGTGCAGTTAATTTAAATCTAAATGGAAAACTGATCCTAAGTGTAAACAACAACCAACTTTCACTTCCCTCTTAGACTAACAGAGAACTTAAGTGTGTGAATCCTTTAATAGGAAAGCGGTTTTGTGAAGTGAGAAGACAATTTATCGTTTAAATGAGTTTGAATGATGTTCAGTGTTCAATTACTAAAGCTACCTTTTCTGAGTGTACTTTCTTGCTGTTAGTTTTCTACTATTCGGCACTGTCTGTTTTAACATACCGTTGAATTAATCATGTGGCTATTAGCACCGCTAGCTGTTCATTTGAAGCTTTACAGAGATAAATAGCATTTTACCTCCTTGGCATATTATTGCTAGAATTTATTTAATCACACAAAACATGAATGTTAGAAAGCTTACATAATGAAGCCATCAAAAGCCATTTTCAAAAAGCCTTTTGAAATATTGAAGCATTCAAAAAGTCAAATAAAATATTTTTGAATGGGCTAATTGGCTTGCAGTCTTGATACTGACATATGGGTTATGATAATAGCCTTTGTGTTATTCATGGGTCCTACTCATTTTGTCCCTTCACTAATTCATAATTCCACTTCATTACTATTGCATTTTGAACCTGTAAACAAGCTTTTTTTCAAAATACATGTTTCCTTGAACCCTGGTGTATCAGGGTTTTTCTCTCACTGTAATTCAAATTTATTGTGAATTTTGAGGATAAATTATAATAAAAATAATCAAACTTGACAAAATAATAATAATAATATAATTTAATAGTAAAATAAAATTGCAAATTCTATTTTGTCCCTCCTATAATTTCCATTTGAATCGAAAGACTCTCGTGAATAATGACAAAGAAAGACCCTTGATCCAACCAGAGTCAGCCACTTAAAAGCTCTAAACATGTAAGCTTTGAATGTTGATTTAAAATTATAATCTCTATTAATGGCAAAATTGGTCAGTTTTTTACAGCTTTAACGTATTTGCAGAATTTCTGAGTGTTTTTATTTTTTATTCCAATGTTTAGATTTGTGAATTATGAAGATGAATTATCATAACATCCTATATCATTATATTCCAGTTCAGGTTGGTTCACAGATAATGACCCTTAATTAATCCTACAACCTCATGCTGGTAGGTAATGTTCATTGACTTACAATAAGCAGCCAAGAAAATTACTTCAAATTATTGAATGTCAAAGCAGCAACAAATATCCTGTAAAACTGACGCCTGTTTTTTGAATATTTTGTTCATTTTCTATTGGGAAATAGTCAATCATGAAGCCCCCATGTGAAAGTTGGTTGAGATAAACATTTGAGAATCTTTATAAAATATCAAGCTGCTGTACCTGAAACTGGCTGGCTGCCTCAAGTATTCTCTGGACATTTGAGTGTGTGAGGAGGGCTCGGCTGGTGTAGGTGTACTCCAAGAGAGAGCGCATAGTCCCGCTGTCCAAGCCTTTTATCTCCACACGTTCCTCATGACTCTCCTTGAGGCCACTGCAAAACATGGCCCTGTTCGAACATACATTGGGTCAGTGAAGCTAGAAGTCCCATCACAATACCTTCACTGATAACAGAATTGCTTTTACCTGAAGTACTGACTGGCTGCAGCCAGAATGGCCCTGTGGCAGAGGAAGTCTTGCCCTTGAACACAGAGGGTCACATCGGTCAGCTCTCTGTTCACCCTCAGGGTTTCCATCCCTCTCTGCAGCTCCACAGGCAGGCCTCCATCTTGCCAGCATAGCTCACTTGCACCTCCTGGTTTGTCTTTCTCGTCAGTCAGGCTGGACCCGCTTGCGAGTGGCGATACTGGACAGTCTGTCGTCCTTTCCAGTGAGTCACTCATCTTTCTTTCCACCAGTAATTTCCACTGAGGTAAAGTTTCCACTGAAGAAAACCAGTCGACAGCTTCAGACGCACCTCAAGGCTCGTGAAGAGAGAAGAAAAAAAAAAGCCTTTGTGGTTCACAGTGAGAGCAGTTATGTCGCTTTGAGATGAGGATTTGTTTTTTTTTCTCTTCTGTCCTCTTCATACTTCCTATTCCTGTTCTGTGGGGAACATGCGTGTGTAGCAATTCTAAGCACTTCCTCTTCGAATGTGCTGATCAAATTTACCCTAGCTTACCTAATATTCCTCTTTTTGCTGATAAAAATGATTCTAGACTTCATGCAGTAGGCCTCAACAAAGAGAGATAACAGTAAACAAAGCCAAAGAGCAGTTTGATGTATATGTCTTTTATTCAGCTCTGTAGTTACATACTCTCCTCTATACAATGGCTGACTTACAGGGAAAACTTGCTTATACTTTAAATGAGAGATGCACACAATGTATATGTTGTATATGCAGTGCTTTCACTGCCACTTTTACCAATTATGAGGTACAGCTGAGAAAATATCTTAATCTTTTTAATTCCAATCATTTTGACAGAGTGAACAATGAGTCTTATGCTACATCTGTGTGAACTACAATGTGTAAAAATGTGCTACTCTGGGATCTTGGTTTTATATGGCGACTTAGAATCCATGCTGCATAGTACAAAGTTATGGTCAGTGATGATATAAACCATGTCATCGGGAAATCCTGATTGGTACCAACTATCAATGACTTGAGTTGATAGTTCAAATATCCATCTGTTATAGGTGTATTTGGATTCTTCAAATACATCTATTTGAAGGATATTTTTGCCCAATCTTCTTTGTAAAATTGTACAATTTTACATATAACTATCCTGTTTAGTGTCAAGCCAGAAAATCATGATTAGATTTTGATTCTTACTTTGATTGAGCCACACCAAAACCTTCATTTTGTTTATTGAATCATTTGCAGGTTTAGCCATGAACTGTAGTCAGACACTCTCCTTTATGATTTTCTGGTAAAGATAACCTAAAATCACAATTTGAAAACTGTGTTTTATACATACCTTGTTTATCACTGTCTGATGATAAAATGTGTTTGAAGATATGATATTTTGAAGGAAAATATGTTTTTATACAACTGAAAAGCAACAAATGTTAGAGCTTGGCATTTGGACGCATTCATACTGGTATAGTCTGTCACAAATGAATATCAATAAATTATAATATCTTAGAAAAAGATTTAAGTGAAACTTATGTATCATATGTTAAATATTAATTGCACAATGAGGGATATTACAAGCAAATCAGTCAATTTAAGGAATTATGAGCTATTGTGATTAAAATCCAAAATGCAGTTTCTTCAAAAATTTTAATATTAAATAGTAACAAGTAATAAAAAAAGAATAATTAAGACAAAAAAAAAAAAGCATTGTCATAGCCCAAGCAAACATGTGGATGACTGCTGTCTTGACAGCTTTCAACACAATGTCACTAAACCTCTCAACAAAACGGGTAAGCCTCGAAAGGTGATTGCTAAAGAAACTGTCCAAAGAGTGATTTGTCAAAGTATATTCACAGGAAGTTGAGTGGGAGGAAAACATAAATAGAAAAAGGTTCACAAGCAACATGGATTACTATAGAAGAGGATATCGAAAAGCACAACCCATTTAAGAGACTCAGTGTTGTAAAAGTTTGAAGAACCATTCCACACAGATGTACATGAGGTACAGCTGTTATTATAAATATGAATTTCAAAAGCATCTTACGATGGCTCAGTGGTCTGCAGTTACTTACTCTCGTCTACTTACTCCTCAGTATCTCTTAGTTACTTACTCCTCAGATTTCAGTAAGTTTTGTATTTTATTTTGAACCAAGATTACAGGTTGAGAGACAGAATCCATGCTGCCTGGGTTTCAACTGTCAGTGATAACATGAACCATATTATCTGATGGTTTTGGTTCACTGAATATCACCACACTTTAAGAAAACACAGCCATGCAGCAGGAAGTTTTAGACTACCTTACGTTTCCCTCTGCTGGTTTAACGATAATAGTATCACTGTGCTTCATTCGCCAGCAAACTGGCCTAAATGAGGAAGAGTGATGATTTTCTCCCCTCTGGAGGAGGTTTCAAGAACTACAGGTGGTACAAACCAGGTTGGTTCATGAGTCAAAGATGCAGCAATGTAATAAACAATGCTACTTTTGGAATGTTGACAGTAATTGAAAATCATATTTATTTATTTTTTTCAAAATTATCACTTTCAAATAATGCAACAATTAATAAATCAATCGATGCTTTAGAGAACAAACTTAACATATACATCTGTAATTAATTAACAGTACAAATTAATTGACTATTAATTTGTGCAATGTGTAAAGATTCTACATATTATAATTGAGATTAGGCTTGAATATTCACAAAGAATATTATCTTGAGAAGTTGGCATTGACAATTGTAAATTCTCATAATGTGATATGTAATCAATATACTAAACTAACACATTTTGTATTCAAATACCAAAACAGCAAAATAAACAAAACTTAGTAATTTAGAATAGAAAAGAAGATTGAAATTCAAGTGAAACAGAGAATGAAAAGGGGATTATGATACTGATAAGAATAAGGAACAAGTCGAAGAGAATGGATACTACAAAGGGGTCAGATTAAGTTTACAAGAGTCAAATAAAATCAAAAGCAATGAGTGGCAATGGCTAATCAGAAACTACATAGGATTGCAAATACTTAGCATTTTATCACAAATTTCTGAAGGGCTATGACCTCTTATTCAAACAGCTTCAGCTTTAGATGGTAGAGAGAATCTAGTGGCACACTGTAACTGTGGTGTTCATGTATCCATTGATTCTTACCAAAAAAAACATCATAGCTACAGCATTGAAAGACCTTCTTCTTTTTATGCTAGATGCTTATGAAAGCGCTACATTCATCTGAAAAGAGCAACACTTGTAACCAAGTCTTTGATTCATCTGAATGTGATTCCTCATGAGCTACTGACTCTAGCCGGAGTCAACACCTTACAAACCCCCATCAAATTCTTCACAATGCTACAAGGCTGAAGTTATCAACTAGAAAATTCCTGAAGAAATTTAACCGGGGCCTGCCAAAGTGTGCCTGTTGTCAGCGTTTTGATGCTAAAAATTAGCATCAATGCTAAGCTTAGCACAAAAAAAAAAATGTTGAGAACATGGAGTTGAACAATTCAGTATGCTAAAATTAGCATGTTAGTAGCATATAGACTATCACTAGCATGTTGCCTGTAATTGACTTACTCCATTCAATATAAACATGGCTAATAAGTAAGAGAAATAGCTAATACCTTATTTAAGATAAAAGACTAATGCTAATGCTAGCTTGAGATAATGAAGGCTAATCTTATTGCACCTGAGAGAAAAAGATAACGCAAGCTAATATGATAATACCGCCTATGGCAGTACACTATCCAGAGAAGAATATTAAGGCTTTTATTTAGAAATTTTCAGTAAGCTTCATTTTAAATGTCCAAACTAATCCCATGAGTAATACTGATTGGGTTAAATCAATGATAAAATGCCCCAAACAGCAATAACATTATGTAAAAATGTGAATGCTTTTATTTTGAAATTTTCATTAGGCTTCATTTTAAATTGCCAAACTAATCCAAAGTGTAACAGTGGTTTTATTTTTCAAAAAAGTCACATAATGCCCAGGAGAGCAATTACCTCATGTAAAAATGCTCAAGACTTTTATTTTGTAATTTTCATTAAGCTTAATTTAAAATTGGCACACTAGTCCTGTGTGTAACAATGTGGTTGGTGAAAATCAGTCATAAAATGCCCAAAACACAAGTAGTTCTAAAGGTCGGCTCATTCCTGAGTTTTGCAATAGTAAAAACTACAGTGATGCGTTTTTGTTGTGTCCCGTTGCCATGGTAATGGATCCTCTGCTAACTGTTATGTGTGTAAGAGACAGAGATGAAGAAATAATTCTATCTTTGTGAGACACCCAGTCAGTTTTTTTTATGAAAAAAGGTCATGCAATCATTTCATCGTGAAATAGTGACACATCTAAAACATGCAGAGCAGAAGGCCTGAGCACTGGAACTGAGAAGCACTGACCTAATGTCCAGTGTTAAATACTAAATACGTTTTGAGCGTCAGGCGCGTCTGGTTTGCCTTCAGTCTATGTGGAGGTGCGTCTAGGGCTACTGCGTGTTTGACACATCTTGCGCATCCAACACTCCACATAGACTTTGAACATAAACCAGACTCGCCTGACGCTCAAAACGTGTTTGATGTGAATGCATCAAACACAGGAGCATTGTTCGAATGTTCAGCTTCAACGGTAACAATGAGTGTAGCACACAGACTGTTTTTCAAACCTCTACCTGTTTCAGACTTATAAGTTATAAGTTATGAATCTTCTACAAGAGCATTGTTAAACTTATTTGAAGGCACATAATCAGCTTCTGTGCCTTCTTCTAGAAGGAAACAGCAGTTATTTTGAGGTGAAGAACAATAGGTGCCTGCCATGCAATGCATGGAGGCAGTGACTGACTTATGCATTGCTATGGGCAGGCCAAAATGATATGTATTTTCTTCAACTCAACCTCCTATGAATATGCTCTGGATTGAGCACTGTGTGAAGAGTCAGCTTCTTTTGTCATTATCTTTCGTAGCTTAACCCTACAAAACATTCATAGTCTACATAATAATGTTTTTGTTTTAGATCATTTTTAACTTCCTAAGGGATTATGTTTTTTGTTTTTACATTTTGAATTTCAGAAGCAAATATTTTGGTGATATTTCAATTTATGGAGAAGGACCTGTGCATAATTTAAAATAATAAAAAAAAATACTGAGTGATAAACCAGACAAAACATAACGCCTGGGAACTATTTTATCAATGTTAATAATTAATTCACCAGTTTGCTTTATCAGGGCAGATGTTCACACAGTAAAACTTCAAAAAAAAAAAACTTCACATATAATATTGTAGCTAGTGATTTGTACATAAAAGTTCATGTCTTTACAATTTAAAGTAATAAATTAAAACTAACAAATACAGGATCAGCAAGATGGAGATCACCGATATCTGTGCCACCTCAAATCTGACAACTTACCAGTAGGCGGCAGTGTTGTCCCGTTGAATTTTTTAAGGGCGCGTTTGAGGTCGTTTTAGGACCAAATTCACTCTGCTTGGAAACAGTAATGTTTGTATATCACTTGTCACTTAGCAACGTATATCAATCCCGCACCTTTTCGTGGAGTTTAAAAAGACATTAAAATGTGCCATTAATGTTATTACCATGGCTGTACCACGACCTGAACAGGTACGCTCTGTTCTGTGGGTGTTGCCCACAGCAGTTCTGTCCACGGTACAATAACTATTGCATAAAATAAAAGCCTCTCGTCTGAAACTTCAGCATTTGGCTTCGCGGCTTGTCTTTCGTTCCGACCACCGAAGTTAACCAAAGGAAGTGCTTACTCAGAAATGCAACAGCAAGTCGTTCTTCACTTCTTTGACTCTATTATCCATTTCCTGCGCATGTACCTTTTCATGTACCGGGAAATGTATGTTTCTTCCTCTTGCTTAACATCGAAGACTAAAGCAGTCAAATTCGGTTGACAAGGGAAAACGTCTTACATGCACTCGCAATGAAGTTCTCGGTGTTCTCTCCGCTTAGACCCTTTTTATTGATTTCACTGGGGTTATTTCTGCTTTGCGGTAAGTGAGACAATTATTGTTGTTAAACTTATATTGACTTTCGCAAAGCCACGGTAGTCAACATGTAATGTTGATTAAATTGGGGCTATTTATCATGAATGAATTCAGCTTTAATTGACTCGTTTTATTTTTGATAAGCCACATAAAAGGTAAAAGTTACAACTCAGTTTTAAGTTTCCAGGAAACTTTGGGTGTTTCATTGATTACCATGAAATCATTTTTGACGTGTTGGAGCGAGTTTCCTTAATATATAGTCTCGTTCTGGGTCGTTATTCTTAATAAATCATGTTAGGTAAACTGAAGCTAATTAATTACCTCTGATAATATTCTTAATACAAAACCCTGTAGTTTAAATTGAATCTTACTAAGCCTCTGTCTTTGTAATTGTTATTTTGTATTTAAAAACTTTGAACAGCAACACGTTGGATTATTATTATTATTATTATTAGTAGTAGTAGTAGTAGTAGTAGTAGTAGTAGTAGTAATTGTGATAGCAGTAGTGTTACTGTACTGTTAGCATTACATTCTCTGTAAATGTGAAGACTAATATTTCTTGTAATGTTCATGTTCAGTTTTTACCTAGTCGACAGAAGTCCAGTGATGTACTCTCAAAGCAAGAAGCAAAAAATACACCTACAAATAAAGTCAATAAAACTAATATAAAATATTAGGTATCATGAAATAAAACAACGTGGTGGGAGCTGGGGTCACAGGACAGACAAAAAGATACAATACCAAATATGGATAATTCATTGAAGCAGAGAGTTCATAAGCTTTGCAGCCTTTGGGAGGAAGTTTCAGTCAAACCCCTTTGTTCTATATTTGATGCTGCTTAGCTTTCTGTCTTTAGGTCATGGGTTTGATGCTTCCCTCAATGTGCGGTGCACTGTTCTGCACTATCTGCTGTGGCTGATATCCTCAGCTGAGGGAAGTCAGTTACCTTGTGTTTTGTTAGATTGAACGTCTAGCAGCCAAGCACTTCCTGTCTGGTGATGTCGTGCATACTCACCACCTCAAAAACTGAAAAAAAAAAGGTCTGTATGAGTCAAGCTTGCTTCAGACCCCTGTTGAAATACAGACATGATTGTCCCTTATTTATGATGCTTGCTGGGAAGTCTGTGTACATACATGTAAGGGCATTCATTCTCCAAAGCATCCAAGTGCTTTGGAGCCTCCAACATCTCCATCCTTATTCTCATCAACTTCGACCGGCTTCCTTGTCTGTTGGAAAGCTGTCACACAGTATATTTCTACTGCCATGTTTAACTATTTTTCAATTTTCTCTCAACAATGTTTTTTTTTTTTTTTTTTTTTGTAATCTTCCATTAAAGCCAGATATGTGGAGAGCATGATTAATAGTTTCTGTAGACAGATTATTCAAACTTAATTATGGATCTCAGCAGTTCCTCCAGAGTTAAAATAGGCCTCTTGGCTGCTTCTGTGGTTAATTCTTACCGTTAGTTTTGGTGGATGGCCATGTTTTGGCCATGTCTTGTGTCTTATGCTTCCCAGTTTTAAAGGATATCGTTTTATTTAATCTAAACACCATTTAATCATCAAGTCTTCTGTACATGTTTGCCACATCTGTCCATTAATTATATCATCAAGCAAACATATTTTACAAGCCAATGTAGCCACTAGAGCTTCAGCGTTTCATATTATTTCAAAAACTCCCAATCATTACCCATGACTAATTTCATTATCTCTGTCTTTATTCCTTAGAGGCCAAAGTGAACACTGAGATACAGACCGGGCCCCTGTATCGTGTGGTTGGCTCTCTGCTCTCCATCTCCTGCAATACAAGTGGATTTTCCAACCCCAATTTAAAGAAAGATTTTAAGATCCTCATGAAAAATCCTGCAAAGCCCTTTCACGAAATTAATATCATAAGCTCTGAAGACCCGAACTTTAGCTATGCTCGTTTTTTTCCTCGTATACAAAAAAATGAGATTTCTATGAAACATGTTGATTCAAACTCAATCATATTTGAAATAAAAAACCTAAAGAAGGAGGATGAAGGGGAATACGAATGCGCCGTAGTCAACCCAGAATATACTTTCAATGGAATCTATTCTGCAAAGACAGTTGTGAAAGGTAACTAGTTATTCTTTTAGCTGCCACACCTGTATGTATGGTTATAAAATGTAATTGGTACAATGTTTATTTTTCTTGCATTGCCACAGTGATTGACGATTCCCTTAGCATTACATCCAGTGGCTCCCCCACCTCACTGAGCTATAACGAAGGGGAAGCTCTTTCTTTGACATGCCAAGCCTCCACCAACACCATCCAGCACGTCCATCTGGCATTCGCCTGGTACCTCCGTAAAGAAGGGGCACAAGACGCTAAACCGATTATTTCTTTGGACAGAGATTTCACACTGGTTCCAGGTGAGGGTTTTGAGCAGCGCTATAGAGATGAAGCCATTAGATTAGACAAATTAGATGAGGCCACCTACAGGCTTAATATTGCTGAGCTTGAGCAGTCAGACCAGGGTCAGATCTACTGCCAAGCTCAGGAGTGGATCCAAGATCCTGATCGTTCCTGGTACAAGATTTCTCAGAAGGATGCAGAGGAAATTCCCCTCACAGTCAAAGCCAAAGGTAAGATGAAGTAACCATTTAACTTACTTTAATTAGTGCCCTGACCTAAGTGGGATGTCTTGAAATGAATCAGCACTTGTTAACATGTGTTCTTTATTCTTTTATTATGTGTAGTGGTGACAAGCATGTCACCACAAGTGAGTCTTTCGGCAAAGAATGCACTCCATGAGGGGCAGGAGCTGTTGCTGTCTTGTGGCATAAATGCACAAAACCTTGCAAAACGGTTCTTCTCCGTAGCATGGCTCTGGGAAGGAAATGAGTTGGCCAAAATCGGGCCCACAGGCATTCTGACTGTAAGGCAAGAGTATATCGACAGAGAGAGAATTGGGGAGCTAAAAGCCACGCGAACAGGAAATAATAACTACCAACTCAGGATAATGCCAGTGAAAACTACAGATAAAGGGAGTTACAGCTGCAGGGCATGGCCAGAAGAGAGAGGGGAAGATGGAAACTTTAATCAAGGAGCAGCTCAAGACTCCCAAGCCATGGCCATTGACATCTTTACTCCAGGTTGGTTGAGATGAACTCATACTAACATAAATCTTTGCATAAATTATTCTTAATTTCTAGACAGTGCCTTGTAAAATGATTCATACCCCTTCACACACTATGTGTTTGCCCAAGAAGTCACTCTAATTTGATTAATTTTAACTGATAACACCATTTAATAGTCAATTGTGATGTGGCTGGAATGTGATGCATGGTGTGAAACATTTTTACAAATTAAAATCTGAAAGGGTGACCTGCGTCTGTCTTCAACCTATTTAACATGGATATAATTTAAATACAATAAAACAGAAATGCACAGCAAACATGTGACAAAAGATGCTTCGAAAAAAAAAATAATAATAATAATTTTGATCTTTCTGGGCTATGTGTACCATGCCGAATGTAGTAGACATCATAACACACCATTCCTATTGTAAAAGATGGGTAAACACCTGAAACTGGAGCAGAGGTTGATTTTCCAGTAAGATAATGACCATAAACATGCAGCAAGACCCAATGTCTCCATCAAAAACCAGAGCGCAATCTAATTAAAAATATGTGCCAAGCAGTGCTGCAACTAATGATTAGTTATGCTATCAATTATTCTGACAATTGATCAGTTAATCAGATTTTTTAAAAATTGTGCATTCTGCAGATTTTTCATTTTTATGTATTATATATTAGAAATAAATTAAAATGTGTAAACAAATAATGTAATTCCTATTTTAAAATTAAAAAATAAATATTTCTGCCTAAATTGGAATAACATAGTGTAGCAAAATATGTGTCTGCAGCTAAAACATACTTTCAACATCAACTTGCTAAAAGCTCAGCCCTTTCTGCTTGACTTAAAATCAACAATACACAGGGCGAATTTGTTGATTATTGTTTGGATATACTGACTAATACTTGGATAACAAAAAGTGCTTAATAGGAGACTATTTTTACAGAATTTGAATCAGGTGAACCTTAAAATTTATTGCATGTTTACAGAGAGAGAGGGAGATTTTATTATTTTATGTATATATGCATAAAACTATAGTGAACATGTTACTTCTCTTCAATGCTCCAATTTATTCTAGTTGTTGTATCAATCAAAGTTAAATAAATTGATATTTTTCAACTTATTACAATTACTCCAAATTTGTGGTTCTAAGATAACAATAGGTGAAAGTATTCAAAGCCAATAAATTATTTTGCAAAAGAGTATACATTATATTTCTGTGATTAGATTTTGCTGATGACAATGTTGATAAGATTTTGTATCATTTTGTCAAACCCAGTCACATCTGCTGCCTTATCTGTTTACAGAAAGTGGATTCTCCGTCAAGATGCAAAATGTGAGGCAAACTGTTTCCCCAGGACAGAATTTAAAGCTCATCTGTGACGCTGATGGGGTCAAAGGTCAGCTTTCTGTCACGTGGAACCGCAAAACGCTTCCCACGTCATCTTTGTTTGCCACCATCGTCAGTCTAAATAAGAATGGTGTCACAGAGAAAGCTGGCGCTTTTGCAAGTCGTGAGGTGAGAGTGACGCGTCCGACGATGAACAGATTTGTCTTCGAGCTGCCTGATGTTGCAGAATCTGATTCGGGTACCTATGAGTGCATTGTCTCTGAAACACAACCCAATGGCAGAACTGAAAGCCAGAAGCAAAATGTCGACATCACTGTGCAATCTATTGGTAAGATAAATGATGAAACCTACACATTTTTATTCTAAGACAACTGGTTAATAAAGATATACTTTCTGACTGTGACAAATCAGACAAACTGTTGGACAAAAAGAGACATTTAGTGGTCATATAGTTTACCAACTGTACCAAGAATACCACATACTTTGGTCAGATGAGCCTAAGACTGAACTTTTCTTGTGTGAAAATATGAATGTGTAGATGTGTCATACTTTACATTCATAGCTAAGAATTGTGAAGTAACTGTAATGCCAGCGGTATTCTGACCTCATCATGACACTTTTAGATGCTGGAAGGCCTGTTGCAAGATTACCTTTAGGTTAAAAGAAATGATCAAGTTCCCTGGTTACTCAATTTAGTCATTCATAACTCCTTTAGTGATTACCCTATTGCCAACATTGGATCAAATTATAATATTACTTACAAGAAAATGCAAAAAAAAAAATATTTCAAGTTTAAAGATATTATACTTTATCAATTTGAGTTATCATTTTTCTTTCCATTTCAATTTGTGTCTTAGATTCATTGGTAAAGGTGGCACTGAGAAGCCGAGAGCCTGTGGTGACCATGGGAAATGATGTACAATTAATGTGCAAAATATCAAGACCAGATGTGCCGATGACTCTTACTTGGAGCTGGGAGACAGAAGACGGCAACCTTAATACCATAGTGGTACTGTACTCAAATGGCTCCATCAGCTGGTCTGGAGACCAGTCCCATTACCAAGTGCAGGTGGACAACCAGGGTAACATTGTCATGTACAGTCTGAAAGTCCTTCGTGCCAGTCACAGAGAAGCAGGGAAGTACCAATGTACGGTGTCAGTTTTCCTGCATAACGTTTACAAAAAGCTTCCTGCGTCCCATTTTGTGGATGTGAAGGTACTAAATCCAGGTAATGCTGAAATTTGATGATGACTTGATTTGTAGCTTTGTTTTCAGCTTTTCACCTTTTTACCTCTACTTATTTGTCTCTCACCTTTCTAGATAGCAAACTTGCCCTATCTCCCAATCAGACCATTGCCCAAAGAATAAATACTGACATACAAATTTATTGCAAAGTTACCTCAAGAACATCAGAGTTTTCACTGTTTGCCGTCACCTGGGAACTTCAAGAAGATGCTGGAAATAAGATCATTCTGACCTCAGACCGTAATGGTATCACTATGTTTGGAGAACAGATTGAAGAGAGTCACAGGAAACGGATCAGCATGAGGCACACTGATGGACCTACTTTTGAACTGACTATTCAGCAAGCCAGAATTTCAGACAAAGGCATTTATTTGTGCAAAGTGGTGGAGTACCTACAAGATCCCTGGGGAGAATGGTATTCACTCTCAGATAAACATTCGCACACAGAGGTTGATGTCATTGAACTAGGTAGGTTAATATTTTCTTAATTTTAATTTTTATTAATAATTTCTGATTCTTATGTATTTTACATTCTTCCCTTCTTTTTATTTATATCAAATGGCTTCATTTAAATGTTTAAATTCAATGTTTACAGCTATATATAAATATATATTTTATCATATTACAAAAACAAACTTTAATATTTTATTATTGGTATTGTATATGATAAACAGACAGAAAGTAGAACACAATTGTGAAATTAAACTACTGAGCACATGTGAACATATTTGGCCACAAATTCTAAATAGAAAATAAGTCTGGGCTGTTCTGATGCATGCATGATCTCTGACCGAAGTCATTCCATTTTGTCTCTGTCTATACACTAAGGGTTCTTATTCAGTCACAAGGTGAAAATCCAAATCGAAGTGTTTTACAACCGCTGAACAAAATTCCTTCCATGTTTAACCTGTGTTCACCTCAGTTCGTCTTCCCATTAACTAACCATCTCCCAAGTCACCAACGAAGAAAACAAGAAAATAGCAGAACTGGATTTAATTGGAGTGTTTTGGTGTAGATAGGGCTGAATACTAGATCACAATGAACTTTAAACACGTGCATTATTTACCTTCTTCACATTAATAGTCTTCTTTGTTAGTTAATTACACAAAATATAGTAAAATGTATGGGAGTTTGTAGTTCTAAAGATACAAAATGTCTGTAAATGAATGTGGCAAGAGTGTTTTTGCAACATACTTTACATTTTGAAGATGGAGTAGATTAATGTATAATACAGTATTATCTTTGCTCTCTAGAAATGCAACATGACTTCAGTAAAAAAAAAAAAAGAAAAAAGATAAGTGTACTTTTGAGAATCATTCACAGGTTGTTCCCCACGAGGGCTATCGGTAGATCATGTCAATATGAATTTTGCTTACTCATGTTGCAAAACCTGACTTCTCTATTTCTGTATCTGTGAGATAGGCACTTCTTTTCTGACTGTTGTGTATAACAATTTCTCTCAGGGTTTTTTCATTGCACAATCTCCTTCTCTGCACCTAATACTTTTATATGTATATATTTTTCTACCTATATTTTAATCTACCTAACTTTTTTCCAGGAAGTTTGGTTTTGCCTTATTAATGCATTCAACTACTGTTGAATAATAATTGAATACTAATATTTATGCATTTTCTCACAGAAAAAAAATTGTCCATTGAAACAAAAGACGCAGAGATGAACATAAGCATTGCGGAGGATTTCTCCATTCCCTGTTACATCACCCAACAATCCACCAATGAATCCCAGTTCCAGGTCACATGGTTTTGGCAACAAGGCACCGAAGTTAAAACCATATTTACAGCTTACAGAAATTCCACCTTACAAGCCAGGGATAAGAATGTCGTAAGATATGATCGCCCCTCCCCTCACCAATTTAACCTCACAGTTTTAAAATCTAATTCGGAAAGCGACGGCATATATTTCTGTGAGGTAGAGGAGTGGATTCACGCTCCTGGTGACAAGTGGATGAAGCATGCAGTGGAAAAGTCTGGAAATTTGAACGTGACAGTAGATGCAGAGGGTAAGCTCTATTTACAGTTGAGCTAGTTTTCTTCTTGGGTGTTGCAAAATCACTAATGTTGAGACTTGCTTTTTATTACCACTTTCTTCCAGGGCAAGCCAAAGCTGTGACTGATCTGACATGGCAAGCCGGTACTTGGATACCAATATATGTAGTAACTGTCTCAATCGGTTTATGCGTCATAACAATTCTGGCGTACAAGCTGTGCAAGAAAAATACTTCAGGAGGAAAGAACTCAGGTCCATCTCTCTGGACAGAACAGGTCCCCCTGGACCCACACGCTTAGTGAAACTAAGTGAATCAGTGAAGCAGAGTGATGTATAGAAAAATAAATATCTTATTAAGTCTAAGAAGTATATGAAAAAAGTTTTAAAATGTACTTGTTTTTTTTTTTTGTTTTTTTTTGTATTTTGAACATTTTTTTTAATTTTTTATTAAATGTTATGAATGTTAGAGAAAAAAAAAGTTACTATCTATGCTGGTGGGAATGTCTTAGCTTTTATGAATAATTAACATTTGTTGCTACTCTGAAATGAAACAAGCATTTCTCAGACTGGAGCTAAAGTCTCTACGCACTCATTTTGTCTGTTTGAAACGAAGTTGAGGTAGGCAGCAGATTTTGTTTGTGGTTGTGCAGCTTTGAAAAGACTCTTATTTTATGTTACAAAGTGTTGAAACTATGATTTTTTTTTGAGGGGTCATCTGAAGCTTTGCATGTCCAGAACAGCAGCATGTCATAAAATGTGGTAAGATTTGAAACCTTTGCAAAAAAAAAGGAAGAAGCGGAAGCTTTCTGTGGTTGTGCACATGATTGTAAGCGGTGTTTGTGACAGACGATCTCACAATCTGTAAATCTTTTTCCTTTTTTTTTTTTGAGAAAGACACAGGCTTGCAGTGCAGAGTTGGTTAAAACCTGCATGTGTGCATGTTATGCTTCTCTCATTTTGCAACTCTGATGAGCAAATCTGATGATGTTAACATTTCTCATGCGAGTCATTCAGCTTGCATAAGAAAGCTGTTCCTCAGCTGAGTTGCTGAGAAACCAAGTGGGTGTTTGTTTAACCTGTTTTTTGTGTCAATGACTTAATTTAATATTTAATTTTTTTTTCTAATAAAAGTTCTTAAATTGACATAGCATAGTTTTCAGATCCTTGTTGGTTTAACACAACTCCCCCCACAAACAGCAGTTTCTGTCAAAATAGCCAACATTTGCAGGTGCCTCTAAGTTCCTCCATGCATGGTAAGTCAGCATGCTTCTGTTACAGTACTATTTTAAAAAAAACTACACAAATGAGATCATAATATCTGATTTTTTATTTTTTTAGTGGACTCATGTCACATTATTACTACAGTGTTATTATAAGTCTGCCTAAATGTCACTCCGACAGCTTCAGTTGATCAAGAATGTTTCTATTCATGTTCTTACTAAAACCCGGAAGACAGAGAAGATCACCCCAGTTTTTAGGTTCTTACAGTGGCTCCCCATAGCTCCAAGAACAAATACTTTTACTAGATTATAAATCACTCAATAAATATCACCAAAATACATTAAAGATCTGTAGCTATTGTTGAATCTGAAGAGGAATAAAATTATATTAATTAATAATTATGTTGTCTGGCAGTTTTGCACTACAGCATGTTTTTAGCAAGATCAAATGTACTGGGACACTGATCTCTATACTGATCTGGAAAGCCAGGAAGGAATTCAGATGTTTAGAGATGTGGAAATAACAAATTGCTTAATTGCTGTTAATAGCCAAATCTTGAGAGGTTCCAGTTGGACAGTTCTGGAAAACTCATAGGGTCGCAGCCAAGAGATCTGCATCAACCAAAGGGCAAACTTTGGAGAATTGTGACATAGAAATAAATGGACAGATTTGAGTGTAGTGCACCCTACACGTGCGAGTTGTCCGTGAGAGTTGAAGGTTGCTGTGTTGTTTGTTACTTGCCACTTTTTCAATCCCCAATGTATCATCCTTTAAGACCACCACTCAGGTCTTCTGATTGAAGTCTACTCTACATCCTAATAACCAGAACAAAACATTGAGAAGTAACATTTAGTTTTTATGCTCTGTAAAACTGGAACAAACTTCCAGAAAACTGCAAAACATACAAAACACTGATTTCATTTAAATCAAGGATAAAATCCCACAGGTTTAGGAGTGTTTTTAAGCAAACGGAACATTGATCAACATGTCTGATTCATATTTCCTTGATCATTTTCATGAAGGCATTTCACAACATGTTACATTTATTGCTTTGTTTCATAATTGGTCAATGTGTAATGTTTTTAAGATGTAATGGACTTTGAACTGCCTTGTTACTGAAAACTGTTAAACAAATAAACTTGATTTGAAAAAGAGATTTTATCTCAAGGATATTCCTGGTAAATTATTGGTTAAATAAAAATAAAAAAAATGCCTCTGATGCACTCCAAACAAAATTGAACTCTTTTTGTAAGATTTTTTGTAACATTTTGCTGAGTTGTGTCCCACAGCAAAAAGCCTTGGTCCTCAGACATTTCCGAAACATTTGAGAGGTCTCCCTGACAAAAGTTATCAGTTGTCGGGAGAAAGGTATATAAAAAAATCCAAAAATGCTAAAGTAGACCAGTGAAATCATCAAATCATCAAACACTGGTGAAAAAAAATGCTCACCAGGGATGTTTACAAGCCTAAAATGAACTGTATTTTAAATGTGACAACAGTTGTCTATACTCAGATATTTAGGTTGGGTGACAAAATGGTATCTATTTCTGAGGATAAAATCAACCTGACCAAATTGTGCAAAAACACTTTTGTGGTCTCCTGAAAGCATGTGATGAATGACCTGATGGAGTAGAGGGCAACCTTTTTGGACTTGATTTCAAAAGGTATTTTTGGTGCAAAAATACACAATGGTTGCATTTAATGCAACACATTATGTAGATAACACACATTATTTAGACAACGAAACACATTGAGCCAAGTGAAAAAACACTTGCTTAAGATGCCAAGTTAAGCATCAAGTTAAGACGCGGCATTCTGCTGCACACTTATCTAGATATCACAAACGTTTAACTAATATCAAAAGTCGTTACATTTCCAACAAAGTATGAGGTTAAGGGTCTCCAGAAGCAGGAAACCACATTGCTTCAGCTTTTATTTTACTCATAAAGGAATGTCTACTGTAGATGGCAGACATTCATCAAAAACTACTTTTGCAGCAACTTAAAAAGATCGAGATTTAGATTTAATTTAAATTTCAGTAACACCATGGTTTTGCTTATTTGTGGCAAGCCACATTCCTGTTTCAGTAACTGTAAAACAAATCCACGTGATCTGGGATCTGAATGTCTTTATTTGTTGTGTATAATTGCAAACATACTAGGAATGCTGCATAAGGTGGGGCAAGCAAATTAAAGTCAATAACTAAGTTCCCTGCCCTATTTCTCCTGACGACAGCTGTATCAGTCCATTTGCATGAGGAATTAAAACAGCTTAGTTATTGTTTTTACTTTTGCTACGAAGGAGCAGGACACCACATGACTATTGCATACTCAGCAGAAAGAATTATACTAGTAGTCCTAATTTTGATTTCCTATTTTAAGATAAAAATGTGAAAAACTACACAAAGAGCTTGTTCTGTGATTTTTAGTTGTTTTTTTCTTTCTTTTTTTATCTCTAGAGATAAAAATGTCGGCTATCGATCCGACATCAATAACCGGATGTTAGGCAAAAACAATCCTAAGAAGTAGTAGTAGGATGATGGTTTGTCTTTCAGACAATGTGCAGCTGGCACCATCAGAGCTCTCACAGCATTGCACAATTCATAGAAAGTTATTTTAAATCCAACGCTCTTCTGAAAAATAGCAGACTACAACTTCCCCAAAACATCACACATGTAGCCAAACCCAAACTAAGACGTCAATGTCTCCTTTAATGGATGCTCTCGCACCATGACTCACTCATGACTATATTTGATGTATCTTTTTGCATCTGTCTCTTCTATGACTATTAATGATTTATTGTATGAACAAGCTTATTCACATGTAATATTTCTTTAATTCATTATTCACATTATTCACATTTGTGAAATTGTGTTTTTCTGACATTAACATAATGTAGACAAAGATTTGTGCATGTTTGTACCGATGACCGAGATTGTGACTGTGTACAATCAGATAAATGCCAAGTGGCCCATAATCTCTGGTTATGGCAGCCAGAGCTGGGTGTCTACTAAATTCATTGCTGTTACAGAAGAAAAAACTTTGAAATCTTCAGAAGAGATTGTGACTGAATGCAAAGCTATGCCCCACTTTTCATATTTAAAAAGAACAAACAAAAAAAAGAACATTTGACCATTTTCCTTCTCCTTAATAATTATACACATTTTCACAATATATCTAAATAAAGTACATTGACATTTCTAGTTGTAAAATGGAAAAATATAATAAAAGAAGTTATTTTACAAATACTATATCAGTAATAGCCATCTTTACTAAACCCATGAATGTTTCCGGTAAGTAACTGGGTTAGTTGCCCCACGGGTGCTGATTGAACATCAGTTAAAGCTGTGATAAAATAGTTTTTCTAGCTAGGACTGATAGCTAGGACTGATAAACTGACTTTTCTTCCAAGTCTGTCAATGTCATCCTGAGAAAAAGGGATCCTGGACACACCCCTTTTATTTCATGCTTTTCAGAAAGGAGGCCACAGATATAATTTAGATCAACATTTTTTTAAGAGGAAAATTTTTTATATACTTTTTCTGTATGTTCTTATTTTTTTGTTTTTTATTTATCTGAATGTCCATGTAAATTTCAGGAGCACAGTAGGAAGAAATACAATTTTTAAATCTTACCCACATGCAAAACATGCAAAAAATACATTTCTTAACTCTCTATGTTGAGACCAAAAATAATGTTCAGTAAATCTAATTTTAAATTTAAAATCAAATACAGCAAAGGTCTAATTTAAATGGCAGTTTAACCATCCAGCGTTTTACCGTCACTGATGCAAATAAAGTTTCAACAAAGAAAACTATTATGTCAGCTCAGACATGCAGGGTTGAAGTAAAATCCTACATCCAGTTGCTTCCTACTACAGACGAAGAAAAACTGATTTACATGTCAGGCAGGTTTTGCTCAGGAAGTTGTTTGTCTGGTTCAGATGAACTACCTGATAGGAACATGCTATTAATTATTTTACTTTCTTTTCAGTGATCCACTACCTTTCTCCAAAGCGCCATCATGTGGTGTATCAGTTAAAATGTTTCAGCAATAATTGGATCATTTGTCCATTGCATTAAGGCAACTGGTCTAAAAACATCTCCATTCTCCATGAAGCCTTGGATAAGTTGATACTAGTGAAATATATGATGTACATAGAATTAAAATTTGTGAAATAAGTTTTCCCTTGACCTTTCATGACCCATAAGGGGCAAAATGTTTCTTCTGTCAACGACATGATTGAACCGCTAGTAGATACATTTGCAGACAGCATTGGCTTTGTCCAATATTTATCTTTCTATATTCGATTATAGTAAAATAACTTGGTATTGGAATATATGTTTAATTGAAATATCAGTGTTGATAATGCAAATCTATTAGCCAATGATGCATTTTGCAAAACCTCAGATTCAAACCATTCCTCTGCAGTTCTTGTCCTGCTGGAAGGCGAACCTGAGCCTCTGTCAAAGGCAAATCCTAAAAACCTCAATTAACGTATGTGGTTATAATGCGATTCAAAGGCAATAAGAGAAGTTTAAACTAACCTTCTCTTTTCAAAAGACATTTTGGTTATGGATACATATGTGGTCAAGCTTGGTTTTACAATGACCAGTCCAAGTCACATAGACAAACACCACCACTGCCAACATGAGCAACCAAAGTTTGCCTTAAACAGTCTTCTGAAATAGAGCATAACATGTGCAAGGAAGTCACAGTGATATAACATTCAGAGAGGAGAAACCCCCAATCTGCCATCTGTACGAATTACATAACATGTCTGCTAGACTCTGAAAGTCTGCCTCTCAGAGGTGCTACTTCCTCTTACCTCAACTCACCTAGTTTTCTTTTTTTAAACTTTTCTTTCTTTCACTCCCTGCTTCCTTATAGGTTTATCTTAGTGTCTGATGCTGCTTTTACTCTAAAAGAAATGACAAAGCCTCGGCTTTGTCGGTTTCTATCTTTTGAAGTCCATCATTTTTTTTAACACTAGATGGCGCTGTTGCACTCCCAAAATAAAAGGATGGATGTAACCACAGAAAAGCAGCCAGTGTTTTCCAGCTCGGCTTTTTGCATCTTATTTAAAATTCTCCAACCATGAAATGTTTTCAGTTCTTTCTGTTTTAACAAACACTGTTATCACATGCTGGCATTAAAAGAATAGTGAATAAATATTTGTAAGTAAGTGAAAAAACAACATTTGTTTCATTTGAACACCAACATATAATTATCTAAAAATGTGTGGTGTGCCATTGTTTTCAGCCTGATACTCCTCATTAAATTCCTGTGCAATTGCCTTCAGACATTATTTTATTACTAAATGGACTGTACTTGGAGTTGTTTCTAAACTACTACTTAGAGCTTATATTAGAACTGGTCTGAGAGACCTGAAGAATAACTGTCTGGAAAAGCAAAGCAATTAGAAAACTGGCATGGAGGAAACTGACAATGAAGAATCTGATGGGAAGGTGAAGAAACAGAAACTATCCTGTGCAGATGAATGTGGTGAAGCTGGGGAAGAAACACATCTGAGAATCTGAAGGAAGGTGACTATTAAAAATAGAAAAAACAGAGTGAACCGAACCAGAGCAAATTAATCTGCCAATCAAAGAAAAAAATAAAAATAAAACTAATAAGATCCAAAACCAAATACAGATCAGAACACAAGAAAGAACAAAAAACTCCACACAAGGAGATTTGGAAAGACCTAAATGGCACCAGGAGCAAACCAAATATCTCAGCACAGATACTCTAAAAATAGGTGAAAGTTCCTTCAAATGAGAAAATGACCTTGAATAGGCAGTCAATGCTACTGTTGATTTAAAAAAATATATATTTTATTTGATTTAACTAGTCATTGACTAATGGAACTAGACAACCATGCTTTCAATAATAAAAAAAATATTTTTTTTAAAATGACCCAGGTATAGTCAAGACTTAACTATCATTCACAATGTGAGGTAAGACATTGAGATTCCAAATTGTAGATTCTCTCTGTCAAATCTGAATGCATTCGAGTTATTTACATGGAAAACTGGGCACAAATCTGAGTGTCTTGAGGCTTACAGAGACATAAAGTCAAAATACTCGTAGCTTTAATTTCAGTGAAAGGAGATTGTGCAAATCACAGACACAATATGGCTAAATGCAAAGGA